TGATGGAGTTGTTGGTGGACCACGTCCACTCGGACCCTGCGTTCTCCGTTAAGCCTGAGCAGGCCCAGGAGTTCGCTACTCACCTCACCGACGGCATGAGGCGGGCTGCCACGGATGCCTACAATGCTTTTGTGCACGACAAACTACCCAACCATGCCTCTGAGTGGCAATTTACCCACGTTGTTGAGCTCGGCCGGGCTGTCACTAAGCTTTCGAATAAAATCCAAAAGCGATACAAGAACGTCTCGGAGATCATGGGCGTCAAACCCTGGGATGTTCTCGTGGATGTGATGTTTCCCAGCTACGAACGAGATGCGCAACACATTATCGAGCGTACTATTGCGGTTGCGAAAGAGAGTGGTGAAGAGATCAACATGCAGGATGGGTTCGATCTCTATAAAGAGCTCGTCGACATGCGCCGGACACACCACGCGGCGTTGCCCGACAAGCCATTCGAGTTTCAGATTGAGGAACTCCTAGTGGATTTCGTTTGGCGATGGGTTCGCAATGCCGAGAGCGTTATGGTCGAGTTAGTCGACAATGCCATCGCCGAAGATCCGTTCCAAGTCAAGACTCACAACCCCGACGGCATTCCTTCAGATAATGAGCGGCACAGCTCCTCAGTCGTGGATATATTTTCCATGTTCCATCAAACCATGGAGCAGGTCTATCAGCTAGAATGGGACAGCGACGTTCATCACGCCAGATTCATGACGGCGCTGGCTCGTTCTTACGCAGCTGGCATTGGCCAATACTGCGAAGAGCTTGAGAAACGGTTTGCGAAAGAGATGGACCGGCCAACGGCGCAGGAGGCAGCCGCTGCGAATCAAACAACCCAAGAGAAGTTTATGCAGTATGCCCAGTATGCTCGAGATGCCTGGAACACCAAAGATGCTCCAGAACCTTTCCAATTTTACCCCGAGGTTTGTATAGCTTTCTAGATATCAAGTAGCTCGCTAACGTTCGCTCAGTCTTTCGTCAAACTCAACAATATTGAGCATGCCATGCAAGCGCTGGACAAGCTAGAGAAATCGATGAACGTCGATGCTTGTGCCGAGGTCTTGCAGAAGGCTGAGCGTCTTGGCAAGCAGCAACCAAGACGACCTAACAAGTACGTCTTCACGATCAAGATTGTGGAAGCCGAAGACCTGAAGGCTTGCGATCCCGGTGGTTTCAGCGACCCGTACGTAGTCCTCGGTGACGAGTACCAAAAGCGTCTTTATAAGACGCGCATTGTTTACAGGAACCTCAACCCTCGCTGGGACGAGTCCGTTGACATCACGGTGTCGAGCCCGCTCAACATTATCGCCACTATTTGGGATTACGATACCTTTGGCGAACACGACTTCGTTGGTCGTACGTCGCTCAAGGTTGACCCCATTCACTTCAGTGACTATTTGCCTCGCGAATACTGGCTGGATTTGGACACCCAGGGTAGAGTGTTATTGCGCGTGAGCATGGAAGGCGAGCGTGACGATATTCAATTCTATTTTGGAAAGGCGTTCCGACACTTGAAGAGAACGGAGAGAGACATGGTCCGCAAGATCACGGATAAGGTATGCTTTGTTCCGTTTCACTTGGGAATAACTTCTAACTCTGATCTAGCTCCGAGCTCAAATCAGCACCACCATCTCTCTCGAAACTCTGCGGAGACTTGTCAAAGGTGGCGGCATCGGTTCGCAGGTGACCAGTCTATGGAAAAAGAGAGCTTCAACTATGCCAGTCGTTACCACGGCAAGCGATATTGAGGGAGCATTGCAGCCGCTGTTCCACTACTTTGACCAGAACTTCGCCATCATGAAGCAGACCCTGACCGACGCCACGATGCTTGCGGTCATGACACGTTTATGGAAAGAAGTCCTCCAGGCCATAGAAGGCCTGTTGGTGCCCCCGCTGTCAGAGAAGCCCTCTTCGCAAAGGCCCTTGGCTCAGAAGGAGATCGACATTGTCTATCAATGGTTGAACCTTCTCTTTGAGTTCTTCAATGCCAAGGATGACTCTGGAGAGCAGTTGGGCGTGCCACAGGACGTCCTGAAGTCACCCAAGTGGCACGAGCTGGCAGCCCTGAACTTCTTCTACTTTGAGCCAACGGATACCCTGATTCGGGAATCTGAGCGCATGGCCGCTGCCAACGCCCAGCGCGCGACGCAGATGCTCCTTCAGGAGAAACACGAAAACCGACTCTCGGCTCCAGCAACATTTGGACCAACCTTTAGCGGCGGACCTGGAGCCTTCGCCAGTATGGGCACCATCCGACGTGGCAAGAGCATCATGATGAGCCGAAACCTGGGCACGATGAGGAGAGCCAAAGAAGAGAAGCGCAAAGAGGCCCAGGCGGATCCCAGCGATGATATGATCCTTCGCATTCTTCGCATGCGGCCCGAAGCAACGAACTATCTAAGAGAAAGACACCGTCAAAAGGAGCGTCAGGCGGCCGCCGCGGCTGCAGCGCTGATTGTCAAGAACAGCGTCAATCAGGGGTGGAACACTGGAGGTGCGTCAGCCTATCGGGCCAACAACCTGCCCAGACGATGAGATGATCGACAGCGCAGGGGCGGGCGTGGCACAGCGAAGCAGCAAAGTAGGGCGGACATGGCAAGGCGTTGGCTCTGGACAGTTTTCTTTTTCTTCTTTTCTTACCTTTTCGTTTTTGTTTGCTCATCTCGTTTTGCTTATTGGGCAGTTAGGGTGGAAGGGAGGCATACTTCGATACCATTCTGGAGAGAGCAGAGAAGAGCAGAGAAAGAGAAATAGCGCGTGATGCAGTGTGGAAGGAATGAGGGAAAGCAACGAGGAAACGCAAAACACAGCAACCAACGGCCTATTCTTTTTGACGCACGCAGATTTGGTAATGGTTCGACGGCATCACGGGCAATATGTAGATACCCCCCTTAGCTACGTTGTTAACCTCGCCGGCGCCTTTGTTTTTGTTTTGGCAACGAGGGGCTTTGTTCATTCTATTGTTGTTGTTTTTTCCCTTTCCTTGTGGCCTTGCCTTGCTTTGAGTTGGGTGCAGATAGATTGGTAGTTTCAGAGAGGAGTGAGGAAGATTCCAGGGGTGAAGTGATGAGTTAGTCCGAGATATGGTTCCCAATACCAGCTGCTCGCAACAAACATGGTGATAAGTGGTATACTGCCATCTTTGTATGTAGTTTACGTGTCTATGAAGATCTTTTATGCTAATCCAACTCCACGTCTTGTTTGCGGTCCGATCCAGCCCTCAACACCCGTCACCATTTGCGAAATATCTACAAATACAGGCGTATTCTCAAAACAAGGCGACGTGAAGACCGACCACCCTTATTCCCCATATTCGCCCTACGAGGAAAATGCTCTGCATCCTGCATTCTGCAGGCATTCTGCAGACTGCGGCCCATGTCATGCCGTATGCAACCTGATTATTCTTGCATTAATCCGGCCTTGTCTCGCCTCGTTTCTTTGCATCATTCGATTTGCATCAAATTCGACAGCGATCCCGGCTGACAAAGATATCAATCAGGCTCGAGATTGGGCTGTTGGGAGACAAGTTGTGTCCTGCAGGTTCGAACCTTGTCTCTGTCTCTGCTTCCAAACGGAAAGGGGGACAAGAAAAGAAAAGAAACTCGAAGCGGAAACGGAAATGGGAACGTCGAGGAGTATTGAACCTCTTGAAGAGGATCGAATCTCGTTGAAATCTCCGACGGCGGATGGGCTTTGATCCCATGATTCCAGGCGTGCAATCGTAGAACAGCGCTCAGGAAGCGTGTACAGCTACGCATTCGTGAGCTATACTTCCATCTCCCATTCAGTAGAAGGGGGTAAAGTTCTCAATGACGTCGACGGTCTCCCGTGGCACCCCCGCCCTTGGGACGGCAACCTACCTTGTCGACTATGCGATACGACGGCGGTCTGCTTGTTAGAGGAGCCTGCCGGGGGGTCGTATTCACGCCATTATCAGACATCGAGTATACCAGGTGCTAGGATATATCACGAATGAAACATCCGTTCCGTTCGTCAACCCTCCTGGGCCTACCTCTTGCTAAGCTTAATAGCCTTAGGTGTTAGGTGTTAGAGCTCAAGTTTAGCTCGAGGAGGGGAGGGGTTATCACACCAGAGCTTCATGAGAGCTTCACTGCGACCCTGGGATATAGGGCTCTTGGCGCCGCTCTCCTAGAGGTACCTTCATTCCATCGTAGCAGCATGACCGAGTCGGGGCCTGAATTTGGTACACTTGTACTCGCAACCGTCCTGAGTGTTCATTTCATCGCATTTGACAAACGTCGTCACAAGCGCATGAAATGACGGAGTGACAGGCGGAGGGGTCTCGACCACCGTCGCACACGTTCTCCCGTATGCGCCCTCGAAGCTTGGGGAACGGCCCGGAGCCCATGCAACAGACGACTCCGCAAGACGGCCGTCCGCGGAGGGGTTCGAGAAACGGTCGAGAACGGCCCTGAGAGGTAGAGAGGTCCTAGAGGAGTGGGCGGGGGTAGGTTACGGCGCATCGATGCCCAAGTCAAACGCCGCGAGGGTCAACCGGGACAGTTCCATCAGACAGGCCCCTGGCCTGGTTTCTGATGCGGGGTGAAAGCAAAAACAAGAGAAAAAGAAAGAAAAAGGCTTTCATATTCCAAGGCCCAATATCCGCAATCGGCTGAAGGCATCGCGAAGCGCTCATACGCCGCCCCCTCTGGCTCAAGTCTCTCAACCGAACCATGGTCGCGTGCACGCATGTGAAGAAAGCACACGTCACCAACTCAAAATGCCGCTCAACGTGTTGTCAACTCCAACCTGTGCCATCTAAGGCTTATTACGATCGTCCGCCTTTGGGTTGGGTACAGGGTTCGGGGGGGTTGATGTTGAAAAGTAAGTTGATAGCATGGGACGGCCGGACGCCTGCGGTTGCGGTTGCGGAGAGCTCTAACATACTATGTACAGTACGGACTACATGCTTACTGCCTGGTTTGTCGAGTCTTGGGTAATCCTGGGGAAGCTGGGTCCGTCTAGCATAGTCTCGAAGTTTAAGATATAAAGGGAGCTTGCGCCAGGTCAGAGATGTATTTTCTCCGAGTCCAGCGGGCAGCCCGCTGTGTCATGGCAACTCTAAGCTCCTTCTTCGATGACGTTGCGTGGAGCAAGATCGTGATTGCCTTGCGATTGCGCCCGATTTGCACTTGCATGAAGACCGTACGAGTGCATACCTTGGGTCGTTCGCTGTCGGTCGGGGATGCGTGTGGAGTGCAGTTGAATTCTTTTTCTAGGATGATCCCCTGTGCTTGGGCCTCGAGGTTGTAGTGTTCAAGACATGTGGAAGGTTGAAGCTGTCGTTGCCCAAGCATTGCTCAGAGCCCAAGGTTCGGAGGGAAATGCGGTTGCTCTCAGAATAGGGAACCGCAGGAACGGACCCTCGTCCGCATTGGCAGACCGTAGACGGATAGCGCGCCCTCGGCAGCCGTTGACCCCTCCTATAAGGGAGAACGGTATAACGTTTATGGGTGAGGCTGCTGTTTCCAATCGACAAGAGCTTGACTCGGGCGAAGTTGTCGATTGCGAGAAGCTCGGTTGGCCAGCGCCACTTATCGATAGTCATAAAGGAAACAGCCCTCCCACTATCCACCAAATCAGCCAGCACGTAATGCATCTCCCACCTTGCACCACGCTCTGCGTCCTGGAGCCTCAGCATCCATGCAAATCCGTAAATCAATAGCTACGCTGCTTGATGTGGACGGAGCGTACGGGCGGGTCGAGGACGGAGGCTTACCGCGAGTATCAAAGCCACAATAGCTCCGAACGAGTTTCGATAAGAGCCGGCCGAGAAAACCACCGCTAGCATGTCGATATAACAGCCGCGAGTTCTGCCGAGGGAGGATAATGCGGATTTACATCTCCCTCTGGCGGCTGGCCCTAGGCTTTCGCCGTGTCTCTGGCATCCAATCCAGCATTGTGAGAACGGAAGCTCGACAGCGTGACATTGTTCTGGAGGACCTCGCAGCACGAACCCTTACCAGGACAATGGTTGGACCAGCGTAACGGGCCCCATTCAGGATAACTGCGACGACGAGGGCGACCAACAGGCGAATCAGAAGACAATGGAAGGCTTTGCATTTCTTCTCATCCGTTAACACCGACTTGATGGGACGTCTGCTGGCGAAGCGACCTGTCGACGACATAAAACGTACGCTTGGAGCGGTGACTGGCGTGCAATCCATGAATTGGTGGATGCGGGTTGCAGTGGCAAGTGTGCCGAGCCCCCCGATCTCGTTCAAGGATACCATGCTTCGTCCTTTCACTGGATGAGACGACCAGTGGGGGGAGACGAACGCATCCGTGATCCAGAAAAAAGTCATTCTAGCCTTAGCGTTATAGGAAGAAATGGTCCAGTTTGGTAGCTCACGGAGTCGCCGTTGCCCAAGGTTGTCTAGGACCGTCTCAAGGTGAGTTCCACTCGATCTTCTTTTTGAATCAACTGTCGGAGATTTGTGTGTGGCTTGATACTTCGCAAGAAAGTTTCTGTCGAGAACAATGGCGAAGCTGGCCGGGTCACGGCTTGGCGGACGGTTAGTGCGGAGATGGTACCCCTTGAGAGTCGCGACTCACGGTTGGGTACGTCTTGACCACACTGATACGAGTCAATTATTGCTACAGGGTCCTTCGTGGTAGCTCGGAATATGATACGCTGGCCAGTTCCATGGCCCGGCATCGTGCAACCGTAGTCCCCATATCCAATAGCCATGCAAGGCAAAGGCAATGCTCTGGTTGCTCCTTGAGGCTTGCCATGTGGCCGGCGCGAGGTCTTGAGGTGAAGATGCCAGGCAACACCTAGCCACATTTGTTACGAAAGCGCATGGCTTGAATGGAAGCCTTCAATCTCAACTGATCCTTTAGGGAAACGGCCTGCAAATACTGCGAGTTGAGGATTGCCCTTCGCAAACACGACCCTTTGTTGTCAATAGGTTTCGAGGCCGTATCCGTACCACGCTGGTAGCGATTACGTACCCAATGGGGCTTGATATGCGCAATGTCTTTGGGAATCGCTAGTGGTATTCGTGATAGTAGTTCCTTACAAATATATGTTGCATCTGCTAGCAGAAATTAACTCGCGGGATAGAGTTGGAGCTCTATGGAGTAGGTTAACGTGATCAATATCTGCATGGCTGTTATTGAATAGCGAAAGCGGTCTGGTTTGCCTGGCGTGATCGGGAACCGTCCGTCTAGCACACCGCCCAAAATGACTTATATCATCTGTCAAGCGGTAGAAAGAAGATGGATAGCGAGCTCACTGGCCCTGTGTCACAAACGAGCAACCTGCAGTAGGCTGCGGCTTACGGGGCGTTATGCTTTAGTAGTGAAGCCTATTACTTGGTGTTGACAAACACCCATTTGAATCGTGCCATAGGAGCTGTTTGTGTCGCTTTAGCTCCTGGCGTACCTAGGCCACAACGAAGGAGTTCTCGGCGAGGATCCTGCCGGTAAAGTCAATCTGGTTAGCATGCATGGTGGCAAAAGGTGCATGGGAAATAGGGGTTCAGCGGTTAAGCCCAGACCCATTTTCAGCCTCCGTTCTGAAAACTGACGGGTTATCGGCTGCTTTGAGGCGAGCAAAGGTGGGATGGTCGATGAAGTTCCAGACTAAATTGATCCAAGAAGGCCTTCGGGTTGGCTCAACCGAGTGCATCGACGACATCTTCGGGGAGACAGCGAATTCGAGACTGGCATCGGCCTCGTTTATCCAGAAGCATTCTTGGACAGGCGATCGTTAGGCTGGGACCAAGAATGGGCATTCCCTGAGCAAGTAGCTTTCACGAGTCAACGACTGCTCTCGATGCAGGGCGGTGTGGCTTGAAGTCGAATCAGATTGGAGACCTCGTGGGCCACAGTGACGTCGATGGCTTGGGCTTCTCGGCAGGCGGCAGGTTCCCAGGATCTGTACTCCGTACCCGTACCGCCGTTGATATTGGCCTGTAGGATAGCCCGAGCCGACGAACGGTCTTGAGACAGAGGCGTGAGAGAGGTAATTATCCGTACAGGCCAAGAACAGTGATAAGCTTGGGATGTCTTGGTTTCTGGCGAGGGCTGTCCAGCGACTGCCAACCAGGCCGGTGTCCTGAGGGTCCGTTTCCGGGGAAAGGGCCACACGCGGGGGCCCAGTAGTAAGGGACGTTGAGCAACATGGCTGTTGCATGGGCCCAAGGGTTGGAGGCCTGAGATCTGGGAGGTTGAACTTTGGAGGACATCCCGGCGATACGGTTGTAATGAAAGGATGAGCGACGCGAGATGTTGAAACGGACGAAGAAGGCATTGCGTGTCGATCTTTGGACGGCGTCCCGGACAGTCGTTCTTGACGGGTGTAAACCTTGAGAGCTGACCCTGACGATCGCAGTGGCTGCTTCCCTGACGGTGTCGTTCGTTGGTCAAGGTGGACGTTAGTGTGAAAGTCAGACGTTGAGACTTGAGAATGGAAGGGGGGAGTGGGCATCCATGACTCCCTCCAGTACGCCTGGGCAGTGACCAGAGCAAACTTCCAGCTCAAAAGTAACGGGCGGGGCGACGGACGGCGTCTTGCCGAGCACTCAAGGTATTCGAGAAGTCCCCTTGGTCCCCTAGTCCCCGTGTCCCCCGACCTAAGTTCTTAAGGGATGTCGAGGGAAGTCAAAGAAAAGTGTGTGGCTCCTTTCTTTTTTCGGTTTGGGCGGAGGAAGATAGGAAGGTGTACGGAGTACCGTAGAAACTCGAGCAACTCGAACTTGCGCTAGCCCGTGCCAGCCCTGCTAGCGGCCCACACTAAGCCCTTTCGAGGGATCAGTTTTATCCGATTATATAATCGACTAAACCGTATACGGAAGGCGGTAAGTGATTATTTTCCATTTTTTACTCCTACCCAACTGCCCACTTCCACCGATTACATCACCGATTTGACCACCAATTATACTGTCAATTATACCTCCAATTACACCTCCACCACGGGCCTCGTCGACGTGCCCACGATGCCCTCACGACGGGCCCTTGCCGAGAAGGATTCGAATACGGCAAAAGTGCCAATTACACCTCCAGCAGCTAAGCGCCGCGGGCCTGCTCCTACCCCCATCAAAGACCGGAAATATACACCGCGAAGTGGCCCAATCAAGCGCCGCCAGCACCACTATACCCACGATACCAAAGTCAACGTCCTGATGTTTTTAGAGCATCACCGCGTGAGGAAGCTCGACGAAGAGTCGATTTGCCCCCCGAGGCTGCGCCAGGGCGAGACCGAGCTCCCAGGGATATACAGACGTCCCACATACCAGGAAGCCGCAGATTGGTTCAAAGTCCCTCGAAGCACGGTTATCTCCTGGTATCAGAACCGCGAGTCAATCGTCAATCGGTCCTCCAACTACGCCTACCACCCTCAGTGGCCAGAGCTCGAGACAGCGCTATACGGCGCCTTCCGCCAGCGACGAAGTGAGGGAAAGCTCGTTAGTACCAGTTGGTTCAAAAGGACCGCTAAGCGGATTTTCGCCCAGCAGAACCCGAACAGCAAACATCTTTTTATTTTTTCCCCCGGTTGGTTTCGTGGCTTCCAGAATCGTATGAGAATTACCCGACGTCGACTTACCAAACAGGCAACGAAGTTACCCACTGAGTACTTCAAAGTTGTCAACAGCTTTCTTTCCTTTATCCGACGAGTTAATCAAATGGCCCTGGCTAAGGTGAAGCGGTCTAACGTCGGAGATTTACTCGGAAGTCCAGCCCGTCGATTTCCTAACTCGCGAATTCTCAACCTCGACGAGACCCCAGTTCCTTTCGAATACCTAGACGGTTACACATACGACGACGTCGGGGCCAAAACCGTGGCTGGCAAGAGCGACCGCAGCGGTTGGGGCAAGCGGCAGGCCACATTAATACTCTACATCTTCGCCGACGGCATACAACGAATTAAACCGAAAATAATATTCCACGGCAAGCCCGCAGAGGAAGGGGGTCAATTATGGAAAAAAGAGGGCCTATTATACGCAGAAGGAGTGACAGTTGAGTTCAACAAGACTGCCTACAACAATGAGTACTTGTTCAAAAGATGGATTGAAGAGGAATTGGTAGCGCTGACTAAGGGAGACGAGTACCTATTGGTAATGGATGTCGCTTCCTTCCATAAGACAGATTCCATCCTTGCGCTATTACGTCAGCACCACATCACACCCTGCCTCATACCGCCAGGGACCACTTCCCTCCTCCAACCTCTCGATACCGCAGTCAATAAGCCCTTCAAGCAGTGGCTTTCAGAAGCAACCGACGCTTACGTACTCGACGAGGAAGAAAAAGCGCTGAATAAGCAGGAGGAGCTCAAGTGGGAGACGGGTATGAAGAGAATAATGGTCACCAAAACAGTCGAGACGGCAGCCGCTAAATTGGCCCACGAGAAGGGCTCAATGGTCAGCCAGGCCTTCCTGCAGTGCGGAATATCTATTCGGCCCGATGGCAGCCAGGTCGACGAGATCCGGATCAAAGACGTGCCCGCCGAGGCCATCGATTACACTGGGTGGGAGCTCTTCGACGTAGAAGCCCACATTGAGCAGGAGACGCTGCAAGAGGAGATTCCAGACTTCGCTGTTCTGAACGACGGGTTAGAGTACATTTTCACAGCAGAGGAAGTCCGTGATGGCATCAATGGGCAGTTCGTCGACCCGACAGTCCAACCGCCGTATGAATAGGGGCCCGTTGGAGGCAGTGGGCCAGGGGACAGTCAGGGGCTCGGTTGCTTACGTACGACTGCTTCCAATTGACACTTTTGCCCTTTTTGCCAATTCGACGAGAAAAGCTCAAAACCGACGAGAAAGCCAAAATAATTATTGAATTATATCAATTGTGGGTCCGGCCTCGACGGCGAGCTCTCATTGGTCAGATCGATCGAAATGTTAACCTACGCCAAAAATAGGTGGCGGCCGCATTTAACCACTTTAGGCAGTATTACGATTCTGCCAGAGCGCTAGCAGGGCTGGCACGGGCTAGCGCAAGTTCGAGTTGCTCGAGTTTCTACGGTACTTCGTAGTGGTGCACCGTGTAAGAGGGGGAGGTGGGAGCAGAAGAGAAATGGGATCGGGATGGGACGACGGGATCCCTGACCTGGACCCTGGCGCTTGCTTCACAAGTTCAGAGTGAGTTAGCTCGCACTTTCTTTCTTTTCTCTTCTTTCATTCCCGCAGGGGCCCAGCGCAGATGCAGGAAGGAGACACAATTGCAAGTCGAGGAAGGAAGCACGGAAGGAACCTGAGCTACGCAAAGTATCACGTGCGCTCTTATCTCTAGCACTGTCCCCCATAAGTACCTTATCGGCTTGTAGCACCGTGCGGCTTCTCTACCTTAACTTCGCTCATCTGACTTCACTTGAACATCCATGCTGAATCGTCCTGCCTCACAGAGGCAAAGCAGCGCGTCTCCGCGCTGCTCCTGAGTGCCATTATCCGCATCTGCTCGTACATGACCTGAGAATACGCAGTATATCTGCCCGACTAAATCCTGTCAGAGTACGACAGAGTCAAGTGAACAACACACGGCAGAGAATCAAACCGTCATTATCCTATTCATATTCAAAAAGGAGCTTGACTCAGGGCACATTCGCCTTCCCCATCATGGGAATCTCGATCTCAATATCAGCTGCGAAATCTGGAACTGGTTCCCAACTTCCCATGCTTGCAAACAATGCATGCAGAAGAGAGAGGTGAGGTTGGGGCGGCACGGCGGGCAAACCAAGCACGGGCAGTCCCTGATGCGCCATGTGACAGCCGGGCGGCTAGGCCTGTCCGGATTTATCGAATCTCGACCTCTCGACTCCCCGAACCGTGGACTCGCCCACTCTAGACCCGATCCTGGATCTGAAGCGGGCCGCGGAGGCATACCTTACCTAAGAAACCGCTGCCGTTCAAGTTTGTTGGTAGTTGGTGTCCGTACCGGCGTACAGCGGCTGTGCGGTCCACCATGTGCGGCACAGCGTAGCAGCTGCAGAGGGACAACGGCGAAGGGGAGCGAGCGCCGCACGTTACCGTTGTGGAGACGAGAAGGGAATGCAAAGCAACGCTGTTGGTGGCCATGGGAGTCGGGACAAATGGTGGATGGGGGCGGCCAGGAGCCTCCCGCCGTCACCCAGCTGAGAAATACTACCCTGCCTTTCCATACGGAGACCATCGTCGCTACCAATCGCCGCTGCTCCAGCTCCGGAAACTCGTTGGGTACGGATTTCCGTGGCACCCTCTTGGTGTAGCAGCATGAGGGACGACGTCGACCTTGGAGAGTGGGAGTCTGGGAGTCTGGAGAGAAGCAACAAGCGGTGTTTGGTCTGCTCAGTCTCAAGACCCCTATTCCGTGGAAACCGAGGCGCAACTTTCTTGCGGGAGGAGAAGAAAGTCACCTCAACTCCCAGTCCCCAGCAAGCATTCAACCAGGTTCTCCACCGTGGGCATATGCGTTGGTTTTCCCCACACCAATCGCGAGAGAAAACGGTTCTAACCTGTCACGCCCGTCACGCCCGTCCAGCACGCAGCGCTAGGCCGCCTCGGGAGCGCTGCTGCAGTGCCCAAACAGCCACAAGCCACAGGACTCTATCCGTACGGTCCACGGATACCGACTCTGTACGTTATTACGTAGTATGCAAGCAGACCACAGGAGAGCACGCGCTGACAGACCGGGGTCGAGGGAGTAGCAATTCGCATCTCAGTACCCCTGCAGGCCTCTACTGTGCAGTGTGTGGTGCGGTATATGCCATTAGCACGCATCTCCCTTACGATATGGCCCCTTTTGTCTCTCGCCTAGCAGACATTGGGGACCGGGTACGTATGATGTGGTGAAGCATGCGGAAGTCCTTCGGCTCGAGGATGACGGGATACGAAGACCGCGAGATGAGATATCAGGCAAGCCGCCTCAACTAGGTGGTCAGGTGGCGGCAACGGTCGACAAGGCCGAATGCGTGGACTCCAGACGGCAGAATCGCCAGACGAGGAGTAGACTCATTCCGACCGTCCGGACTAAGGTAGTTACGGTTAGTCTGGCCCCCATCCCATTCCTGTCAGTAAGGTACCCAGAGCCTAGGGGAGCGAACGGACGGTGGAAAGGGAGGCGGTGGTCACGGAACTTTGAGATCCACGGATGGGCTGTTGAATCTGGCTTTAGCATGGACCGTTCAAAGTATACCTTACGTGGTAGAATTGTAGACGGAGTGAGCGAAAAGGCAGGCACGCAGGCATTGGCTATTCAGGATGGCACATGGTTTAGAGACTGATGAGATGCAGAGAGGCAGTGTCGCCAATCAATCAAGTGACAGGTGAGAGGTGAGTGAGAGAGAGAGAGAGAGAGAGAGAGAGAGAGAGAGAGAGAGAGAGAGAGAGAGAGAGAGAGAGAGAGAGAGAGAGAGAGGTAGAGAGAGGTAGAGAGCGAGAGAGAGAGAGAGAGGTAGAGAGAGGTAGAGAGCGAGATACGGATAGAGAGAGCACGTCCAATGTCCACAGGGTACGTACGAGTACGAGGCACTATCCCTTGAGCCTGGGTACATTGTGATACTTCTTCATCCTCTCACTGACGTTGCAAAAGACAAGCCGGGCTTGGAGGAGGGGCACAACAGCCATTCGAGCCAATGTTCATATCTGAAATTGCCTGTGGTCTGGGACAAGCACACCGGAGACCTCTGACAATCCCCTTTGGGGCGTCGACGCTTGCGCTGGGTTAGGAAAGATGGTCGACCGATCACCATTCGTATTCCATGTCGGCCACGGGCTGGAGGAGCGAATTGCTTTGCGCGAGAAGGTCCTTCGTGGCCCCCCTGGTGGGAAAAGACTCCACATCCACCCGTAACATTCGCCGGGTGCCTCTTGGGTGCTGCCGGGATTTACTCGAATCAGCATGTACCTCTTGCCGCAACTCTGGCGGCACAAAGTACACGCAAGGCTGGACCGACTTATACTAGCGCCGTCTCTGTGCCCCATATGGGACCCTCCGACTTTCTGATGTATTCCTCAAGTACTCCGTACCGTGTACCAAGTACGGGGGAGCCTTTCCTCCATCTCTAGTGATCCCAGGCGCATTGCAGCTCACTGTCTAGGCGTAGAATCTACATCTTGATGCAATGATTCTCGATGCGCATCCCGAGTACCGACTACGTGTCTACCCTATCACCCTATGCTTCCATCATGTACACATAGAAACGGTGCCGATGATTCCCTCCTCTCTTTTTCTCCCTCTCCTCGAACGTGCATCCAGCATCCAACCAGCGACAGATAAACCAAGCAGCGCCAATCAAGCAAAGGGGAAATAGCAGTACCTAGGCGGGAGAAGGGAAAATCCAATGTTGCGCCAGAAGGACCATTCGTCCTACGCCTAATTCACCGTTCGCCTCGTCGACCAATCTGGCTCTCCACCTCTTGCTCCCAAGCATCCCCCCTCGCCGTCCCATCCCACCCCAATCCCTACATCCGCCCTCCTTAACCCGCTGTGGTATCCGTCCAACCCCCGGTCCAAGGTACTTCATGTTCCGCCTTATCTCCTCTTCACCTACGAATACTCCAGAGCGCTGTACGCAGTAATTCTTTTCTCACTCTGTTCCTCTGCGACCTCTAGCCTCTTGTAGCTCACTCGTCTACCTTATCCGCCTGACCACTTTCGGGGCGTGTCTACTCGCTATTTGCTCGCCTTGTTGCTTTTTTTTTTTTTCCCTCTCCTCATCCTCTTGCTTCATATTGCCAACCCACCTACACCACCTCCTTCTTTGCTCCTCCCCTCCCCAAGTCCCCCCCCCCCCCATTATCACCTTCGCTCAATAGAAGAAGAAAAAAAGGAGCAACTTTGTCTTTGACACATCGGGTCGACGAGATTAGAGCCAGTGTTGAACGACTTGGCTTCTGACCAACAGCTACCGGTTTTCGATCTTCACATCGGTTCCAGGCCTTCACTGAGCTAATATGCTGCTGGTTGATCACAATTCTTCTTGATCTATACCCGCCCGACCTTTCCCATCCAAACTCTCCAGCCTCGGCCAACTTATTTTCGACCGCCCACGAACCCCGCCCTGCAACCTCACAGGCAGCCTCCTCTCTGCTCTGCTTGCAGATTCAAATCACAGACAATAATTCAACATGGTCGACGACTCAGCATTGGCCGCTGCCGCGGCCATCGTGCAATCCCTCGCCGCCGATGGCACCACGCCAATGTCCCTTCCCTTCAAGGTTGATGCGCGGATCGAGCTCCCAGGTCGTGATACCCCCGCCAAGCGAAGCCTCGAGAACGAGCTTGCCAAGCTTGCCCAAAGAATCGAAAAACTCGAGAGTCGAGCACACGCCTCTGTAGCCTTCCCGGAAACGCCTAACGAAGTCCACGGTTCCCTCTTTGGCGACGATTCCGACGGCGCATCACCATCATCCTCCAACAGCCGCACTGTTGCCACCGGGCCGACCAAGTTCCAACGCGAAGGTACCGCCACAGCCGATCCGAGCCTCGCAGACAGCCCGCTGACTGACGAAGCCTTGGAGAGCTTGCAAGAGAAGGTACTTGACCAGGAGAAAGGAATTTCTAGCGCGAGACAGGAAATCAGCAGCGTATCCGCCCAGCTCCTTGAGCAAAAGGAACTCCAGGAACAGGCCTTCTTCAAGATCGAACAAGAGAGAGTTGCGACTCTGGAGCGGGAACTATGGAAACACCAAAAGGCGAACGAGGCCTTCCAAAAAGCCCTGCGAGAGATTGGTGAGATCGTCACAGCCGTTGCGCGCGGAGACCTTTCCAAAAAGGTCCGCATGAATACCGTCGAAATGGACCCTGAAATCACCACGTTTAAACGGACAATCAACACTATGATGGATCAGCTACAGGTTTTCTCAAGCGAAGTCTCCCGCGTCGCTCGCGAGGTCGGAACCGAGGGTTTACTCGGCGGACAGGCTCGCATCGAAGGCGTCGACGGTACTTGGAAGGAGCTGACAGACAATGGTGCGCCTAGATTGTCGCCCATGATTTCGAGTCACTCTGCTAACGAATCCTCGCAGTCAACGTTATGGCTCAAAATCTCACGGATCAAGGTCAGTCACTGCTGTATGCGCAAACCGCGCTCCAGAACTCTGCTAACAAATTGGCAGTGCGAGAAATCGCATCGGTAACCACTGCTGTCGCTCACGGTGACTTGACCAAGAAAATCGAACGCCCCGCCAGAGGAGAAATCCTGCAACTGCAACAAACGATCAATACCATGGTAGACCAACTGCGAACATTTGCCTCCGAAGTCACTCGAGTAGCCCGCGATGTCGGAACTGAAGGTATCCTCGGTGGTCAAGCCGACGTCGAAGGAGTCAAAGGCATGTGGAATGAACTAACGGTCAACGTAAACGCAATGGCAAACAATTTAACGACACAAGTACGAGACATCATCAAGGTAACAACTGCTGTGGCCAAGGGCGACCTTACACAAAACGTACAAGCGGATTGCAGGGGAGAAATCTTCGATCTCAAGTCTACCATCAACTCCATGGTGAAACAACTTCAACAATTTGCCCGCGAGGTTACCAAAATTGCTCGAGAGGTAGGAACGGAAGGCAGGCTTGGTGGCCAAGCCACTGTTCACGATGTCGAGGGAACATGGAGAGATCTCACCGAGAACGTCAACGGCATGGCGATGAACTTGACGACACAAGTGCGCGCAATTGCCAAGGTCACAACGGCTGTGGCGAACGGCGACCTTACGGAGAAGATAAGAGTACCCGTCCGAGGTGAAATTCTCGATCTGAAGAACACTATCAACACCATGGTGGACCGCCTCGGCACGTTCGCCTTTGAGGTTAGCAAGGTCGCCAGGGAAGTCGGCACTGACGGCACGCTTGGCGGACAAGCCCAGGTCGACAACGTAGAAGGCAAATGGAAGGATCTCACCGAAAATGTCAACACCATGGCCTCAAATCTTACGATACAGGTCCGCAGTATCTCAACCGTCACCCAGGCCATTGCCAATGGCGACATGAGCCAGAAGATCGAGGTTGAAGCCCAAGGAGAAATACTCGTCCTCAAAGAAACGATAAACAACATGGTTGACAGGCTTTCCAACTTCTGTAATGAGGTGCAAAGAGTGGCCAGGGATGTTGGCGTCGATGGCAAGATGGGCGCGCAAGCAGATCCTGCCGGCTTGAAGGGTCGTTGGCGCGAGATCACGACGGATGTCAATACCATGGCCAGTAACTTGGTAAGTGCAAATCAGTCCATGACATGGGGGTCCTTCCTTGCATCGCGGAACCGACAACTGACTGCTCCAACAGACAACCCAAGTGCGTGCATTCTCAGACATTACGAACCTGGCAACAGACGGAGACTTCACGAAACTAGTCGAAGTAGAAGCCTCGGGCGAAATGGACGAACTCAAACGAAAGATCAATCAGATGGTATCCAATTTACGGGACAGTATCCAGAGGAATACGCAAGCTCGCGAGGCGGCAGAGCTAGCCAACAAAACGAAGTCCGAGTTCCTGGCAAATATGTCTCACGAAATCCGTACACCCATGAACGGTATCATTGGCATGACGCAGCTGACACTGGACACGGACTTGACACAATACCAGCGAGAGATGTTAAATATTGTCAACAGTCTGGCGAACAGTCTACTCACCATCATTGACGACATTCTGGATTTGTCCAAGATCGAAGCACGCAGGATGGTTATAGAAGAGATCCCGTACACTTTGCGAGGAACAGTATTCAATGCGCTCAAAACATTAGCAGTTAAGGCGAACGAGAAGTTCCTCGATCTCACCTACAGAGTCGACAGCTCCGTGCCGGATCACGTCATTGGAGATTCATTCCGTCTTAGGCAGATTATTCTGAACTTGGTCGGAAACGCCATCAAATTCACGGAACACGGCGAAGTCAGTCTGACGATCAAGAAGGCCGATCCTATTGTTTGGGCGTGCGGCCCTGACCAGTACGCTATCGAATTCATCGTTACGGACACAGGTATTGGTATCGCTGCGGATAAGCTTGACCTTATTTTCGACACTTTCCAGCAGGCCGATGGCTCCATGACGAGAAAGTTCGGCGGAACCGGTCTCGGATTGTCAATTTCGAAGCGTCTTGTGAAGCTCATGGGTGGCGACTTGTGGGTTAAGAGTCAACATGGTCAAGGCAGTGAGTTCCACTTCACGTGTCGAGTGCGCTTGTCGGATCTAGGCGTGGAGATCATCGAGAAGCAGATCAAGCCGTACAAGGGTCACGAGGTGCTCTTCGTCGACAAGTCGCAATCTGGCTACGGAGAGCAGATCGAGACCATGCTGTCTCTGATTGGCCTCAAGCCCGTTGTTGTTGAGTCGGAGAAGAACCCCATCCTCACCAGCGTTCGCGACGCCCAGGCGATGCCGTACGATGTCATTATTGTCGACTCCATCGACACCGCCAGAAGGCTTAGATCGGTGGACGACTTCAAGTACCTGCCTATTGTACTTCTCGCGCCTGTCGTTCATGTGAACCTCAAGTCGTGCCTCGACTTGGGCATCACATCATACATGACTACGCCCTGCACTGCTGTGGACCTCGGCAACGGCATGATTCCCGCCCTCGAGAATCGCGCGACGCCATCACTGGCCGACAACACCAAGTCTTTCGAGATCCTTCTCGCGGAAGACAACCGGGTCAACCAAAGACTTGCCGTCAAGATCCTCGAAAAGTACCACCACGTGGTCACAGTTGTTGGCAACGGTCTCGAGGCTGTTGAGGCCATCAAGGTGAAGAAGTTCGACGTTATTCTTATGGATGTTCAGATGCCAATCATGGTGAGTCCCGGAATTTCTATTACTACTTAATCCATCTTTGATAGCAAGCTAATCCCACCCCAATAGGGCGGTTTTGAGGCAACAGGCAAGATTCGTGAGTACGAGCGCAGCCTGGGCTCGCATCGTACTCCCATTATTGCTCTGACAGCCCACGCCATGATGGGTGATCGTGAGAAATGCATCCAGGCACAGATGGACGAGTACTTGTCGAAGCCTCTGCAGCAGAACCACCTTATTCAGACAATTCTCAAGTGTGCGACCCTCGGCGGTCAGCTCCTGGAGAAGAATCGGGAAAGGGATATGGCTCAGCAGTCAAGAGTCAAGGCGAGCTCCAACGAGCATGCTCAGTCTCATCTTCGCCCGCCTCTGGAGACCCGATCCTTCACTTCAAAGGAACCAATCACGGGACCCAGTCCGGCCAGCCCAGCTGTGGCAACGGCGGACCAGGAAGACCCCATATCTAGGGCACGTAACGGCCTTTCCGACTCGCGCAGCCTTACAAGCTAACTTTGTTTCTTGTTCGTGCGCGCAGCTGCTACTGAGGTCACATAGTTCCTAACTGGGATGTGCAGGGACAGGCTCAGAAAAAACGCAAGTGGAACCCCGAGTAAACCACAATCGACTGACATCGTTTTCGATGAAATACCCCAAGAGTTAAAAGATCGTTGATGGATACAACACGAACATGGTCGCTTCCCCATCCTACCTACCTTTCACTCGACACTCTCATACATACACCAATCACATACGATACAGTCCGCCCCCTTTTGAGTGGCCGAGAGAGCTTCTCAGATAGAAGAGGAAGCGTTGCGTGTAGCAGTGTTCCGCCTTGCAGAGAGCAGCTAGGCTCACGGGTTGGTTCACAGGGGGGGGTTTCTCAAGATGGGCTTTGCATACAGACGGGCCAGGCAGGGCGGCATTTGGGCTCTGGGGGCCGTTGGGGAGTTTTCGTTTATGAACTTTTTGTCATCATCAAAGGGGCAAGGGCAGGGCGTCAAAGCTGTCCTCGTTCTCTACCTTTTCGTTAACCTTCCCATTGTAGTTTTACTTTTATTGCCAAGGCTTGAGAAGGAGGGACCACTATCATCACGGCCAGTATATGAAGAGGCTATGCTTTGTGCTCTCTCCTCCTTGGAGGGGTTGATAGCCGGAGTCGGAGTTGACAACTCTGATCACGACATCAATCTCTTTTGGGATTAAGCATAGAGGGTGGATGGCCAGGGGCAGAGAGGTGGATATGGTATTTTTCATCACCTTACTAGCAACAAGGGCGTCTATTAGGTATGGGATTAGGACAGAAGACTTTACATCGTTTGATATTGAAGAAGCCCGACCGCTGTCGTGCTGGATACCCAGACTTGCACCGCTCCTCATTGTGACTACTCGAAGTTGTGAGCCGACCATTCTGTGTTTCCTCCTGTGATGATTTGTGATGCGGGCTCTTTGTTCTGTTCTTGATCGGTTTGAATTATTGCGTTGTCTGACTTGCCCCCTTATACGACACCCCCTAAGACCATTTCCCATGTTCTTCCCACTCTTTAGAAGTTGCATCAGCCCTGAAATAGTTCCGTCTGAGCCAAGTCATTGTGTATCTTGGGTTTGACATGTCCATGACGTGAGGTCAAGCGACCCAATAGACTCAGCGTTGCCTCGTCGTCTGACATGATAAGTCATGGGCAAAACATCTGCCCCAAGTTCCATTGGAGGCTCGTCAGTGGGGACGATGTGACATTACCAGACTCCGTACAGGGCGTTGAATGCAAGATTGACACTGGCATAGTTACTCTCACATCAGGCTCGAGGGTGATGTTGCTGAGATCTCCTTATATCGGAGAGAAAAACCTCATCACAAACCGGTGGATGGTAACCAACGGGGGTCTCTTTTTTGGTTTTGTTTTTTTCAAGGCTGACTAGGTTTCTCTTCATCTCACTTTCTGGGTTGAATGTTACCACCAGTCCCAGCCCAACATGTCCCCGCTCTCATCGCTACCCTTATTCAAACGCCGCCGCGAGAGAATTCGCGAGTATTTGAGCCCCTTGAAAATATCAGTAAGTAGATGTTCTGCGTTCAACCGTTACGCCCATTAATGGTCACGCCCACAGAGCTCCGATTTCCCAGGGTAAGCATGGTAAAGCTGGACACTTTGACAAAGTACCAAGTATCCTCGCCCTCGTGTTTTACGATATCTTGATGGAAGCTATCGAAACCGTTTGAGCTAGGTCCGGATATGGAGAGCAAGCAGTACGAGCCCGTGGAGCCTCACCTGAGGGCCCAAGAAAACGAACAAGCAACCACGTGCAACATGCCTCGAAAACCAATGTCACTTATCACACCCGATTGGACCGGTGAAAGGGAATAGGTGGAAAACGCCTATGCAAACCCGTACCACATGAACGAAGTGCATAGAGCCTCCCTCCGCCGCATCTTAGGATCTACAATATACCTAGTATCTCCAGAGTCCAGACAAGTCAAAGACCTATCGCCACTTGCCCCCATCACGATTTCACCGAAACAACAACAAAAACGGAGCGTTTGATCCGGCAGGCACCTACACTCATACACACCGTTTAATCTGAAGCCCTTTTCGATGCCCCCCCCCCGATCTGGTTCCCGCCTCTCACTCTCATTCGTTCAACCAAAGGGGATCCGCGGTCAGGAACGGCCGTTGGATCATCCCCCTCCCATTCCCCCGTTTGGATACCCTGCGAGATGCGAGGGGGAGGGGGGGTGAACGTCCATACATGTCGGCCGAGTCACTCCTAGCCCCGGGTGAGACGAGGCAGGGGAAAGCAAGGAGGTAAGGAACGGGAAGAAGGTGAGGAAGGAGGTTATGCTCCTGTCGGGCACTCACACTCTGGACAACCACACACACACGACACACGACACACTAGGTATCTGTACATCACACACAAATTCAGGAATATTTTAATCATATTGTGACATACAATCCATGCAACACAGAGTTCTAGACCATCTTCAAAGGATAGGAGAAGAAAAAAGCTGAGGGGTTCCTAGGAATATGTAGATAGCAATAAGCGAGTGGCAAAGCCGTCTGAATCCGGCAACGCAGCGCGCCAGTCTCGCCTCCCCAGTTGCCCCAATCTCGATAACTTCCAAACCCCGTATCCGTACTGTGAGAAAAAAAGAAGACCTCCATGCCGCATACCTCTCCTTCCCTCTCTCTGTCAGGCGAGCCCCAAGAAAAGAACAAATCACCACGTGTGCGCGGATACATCAATGGGGACGGGAATTGCGATATACGATGGGATGCGGTCGGTGAGAATGTATATGATAGGTCAAGGCCAGGGACCAAGCAAATCCGCTATTATACGTGTTGAGGGCAACCCTGATCCCTAGCATGGATCGTCGTGCCTGGGGCATGCAGGAGCTCTCTTGTTCGCCACCTTTTGATCTTGTCGCAAACCCCAGAATTCGCTTCCATGCGGAACCGCAAAGAGCAAAGAATACGATGCAATGCAGATGCAATAGGACTGGGTCGGGTCCAGAACACCGTGACACCGCGACACCGTCGGTTTGTGACACCGCAACTAAATGCTGACTTCTTTCAATGCGTATCCCAACCCCAGTCTAAGTGCCTAATAGCCGGCGGCGGCGGCGGCGCATCGTCAAAAGACAGATCCGAACCTAGGCTTTCTTCGCCGCTTCGGAAGACGCGGACTCGGAGCTCTGGGCTTCACCGTTGGAAGGTTTGTTGGGGACCGTGTCGTCCGGCTTCTTCGCATCTTGGCTGGGCGGTGCCACTGTTCCGTCCTCGTTGGGCTCTTGAGCCGATTCGAACGCGGCTAGCAGTGCATCAAGTCGACCCTCGAGGTTTGTCAGGTTGGCCTCGAGTGCGCTGGCGGCCTGCTCGCCTCTGCATGCGATATGCGGTTAGTCCAAAATTATCCTCAAAATATAATGGCGTGTATGATGGCGGTCACGAGGGCGCATCTCGATGGGTAACGAAACATGGGAATCTGTCTTCTCGGTCCTGCCGCTTGGCTAGACCACCCCGGCGGGGAGCAAGGGGAAGTGCAGTAGTCCCCCAAAGTCTGGCGATGCAGAGGCAATTGGGCGTGATCTGACAACGGCTCCGGGTGTCGCGGAGTGCTCATGGGCTGAGACTGAATGTGGGCGCTAGCTTTGGAGGTGTAAGATGCTCGAGGCCGAATTCGTCTCTAGGCTCGCGGTGCCAGCGGATAGCCTGGGCCAAAGGGAGGGTCTAGAACTTCAACGATATGGGCTTTCTGCGGGAGCGGTAACCGAAAGCCATCGTCGCACATGGGTTTTTGTAACAGCGAATTAGAGAATGCCGGACCACATCCCGTACAGCACCCTGCCCCCAGATCGAGCGATAAAATCGCATGTCTCGCTTCGATGCGACATCCCCCATGGAGAGTAGGTATCGCGGGCAAAGCGGCCGGAGGAATGCTAGGTCGTGGATGGCCATCTTCGCTAGAACAGGAACCCGCAGAGTCGAAAATGCGAGAATGGCCAGCGGTTGAGAGCGACTGAAAAAAGACCTCTGGCTAGATTCCGAGTCTATGCCGGATCGAGCAAAATCCGACGCCAATCCAAGTCGAGTCCAAGGCTGAGAACGCCATTCTCTCTCTCTCTCTCTCTCAAAAAAGGGGGAATTTACGCCAGTTGCAAAGGTTGGCGATGTCTTGCCCACGAACGTATGAATGCGAGCGAGAACAGGCGCCGCTGTGCCACGCAAGGATCCGAGGGAAAACCTGGGCCATACGCTGAGTACCGTAGTAGACGAAGTACCTAGCAATGCGCTTTCCTCGGGGGTTGCAGCTTCGGAGGCAGCTCCGACTCGTTCAGGGTGCAAAAATGCCATTCTCAACATTGTGGTGAGTGAGGCAGGGAGAGGGGCGTTTCATTCCCTCACACCATGGGCGCGAGGACAAGGGGTGCTGACAATCGTCCTCGCAGACGAAGAGAGTGGGGGAGAGTGACATGAAGGGAAAATACTCGTCGAATGAGCGTACCTTAGCAGGTCCTTGTAGGCCTAGAACGTGCCCCGAACGTGGTCAGCCCTGGAACAGTCTAGGTAGGGGGGTTTTCCCATCCGATGCCACCCCCTTCTGCCCTCGCCTGGCCTCTCATCTCTTCTGCAGCAGTTACAGTGTGCACCGGGCAAGTCCCTAGCCGCTCCGTATGTACGAGCGGAGGGCAGCGGAGCAACCAACGGCCATGCCAAAGGTGGATGGTGCAGAACTGAGCGAGGTGGCCGGGGGAGGAGAGACGGAGTGAGGGACCCAAGGGCGGAACGAGAGAATGCGAGAGAGAGGGAGAGGGAGAAACGGATGGGAAACACAGGGTAGATGGTAAACCGAGGCATAAAAGACGGGCAAAAAACACCTTCGGGACCGCGGTTAAGCGTAAAGCTCTGCGCCTTTCAGCGCGATCCGCTCAGGTGTTGCTGCCGCCCCCTCTAGGCCCCTTGCTGTGTCGGGGTCCCAAGCCAAACCAAACCGCCTTGCGAAAAATACTGTGTAGGTACGGGATAATATTAACAACAACATACCTGGGCAATGTTATCCACAGAGCCATCGGGCCCGGTTGTTGTCGGGGAGGCGGACTCGGGCGCCTTAGACGCTGGGGCCATGTTCGGAAGACGGTGATGAGCGGGCGAATCAAAAGGGTGAGAAGATAAAAACTGGCCGGTAAAAAACAAAAGGGGAGAAGACAGTGGCCTGATTTGGGGGTCTTAATAGGAGGGGTCGCCCTCTTTTTTTTTATTTTATCCTCCACCGATCCAACCCTTTGTCGATACCGTGGAATGCGCTTACCGGACCCTGGTATACGTGTCGTTATGGTGGGAAATGCGGATACTGGTGCGTTTTTGCGCCGCCTTCTTGTGATGTTCTTTTGTCGACGACTCGTCGACGATACACCGTCGAATACTCGGTAATACTGTAGTAACTTGTTCGTTATTTATTTTGGCCAAGGTAAGGTAAGGCGGACCAGTTCTTCTCTGGGTGGCTCAGCGTACCAGGTGATCCGGAGTTCGGTAATGCCGAGTGAAAGGCGATAATTCGGTGTCGTGTCAGGGGGGTAGTTGCTGTTGAACGACCTGGGATGAATGGTATGGGATTTTGTAGGGTCTTGAGACGTGCGTAGTAAACGGCGTGTCGTCGACGATGGGCGGCAGAAATGCGGTGTCACTCAAACCCCTCACACTTCGGGAAGGCAGGTGCGCGCAGCTGATTACATAAGCGCAACCGTGGTCAATCCTAGAGGCAGGAACTCGCAACTCTTGTGCGGCGCTTCTTGAGCACCAAACTCGTCACCAATCACAACTTCAATCGGTGGCCCAGATCGTCTAGTTGGTTAGGATGATACGTTGTGGTTCTTCTATACAGCGATCCGTGTTGACGGCGGTTCGAATCCGCCTCTGGGCACTATTACTTTTGCCAGATTGCCTTTCGTGAACGAGAACATAGTCGTTCACGATCTTTTTTATGCTAACCGCAGCGGTGGTGTTGCCCAGTGTATGGGAAACTAGTAGCGTCGCAATGTGGTATCGCGATCATGCCTCCATCGCAATGACCCGTGCATCCTTGGGCGTGCGCTGTTGATACAACCTGGACAAGATGCGCGAGATATGGCAAGGATGTCAAACTATCGCGGGCATTTCGGCCTGATTCTCCTCCCAAACAAAGATGGGAAACCTGACTGTGAGCTGGGTGCCTTGCTCTTGGGCCCGGACCCCCATTCAGTCAGTTGATAATGGATCATGGATAGGTAATCTCGAGACTCGACTTTTCGATTCCGATCCCATTGCAGAATGAAGATTCATCCCACTCGGCCCACTATTGAGGGGGGACCGTTCCATGTCCCCATGAGAGAAGCCAAGTTTATGAAAGAGCAGAAAAGTATCATTGCCAAGCTAAAAGCTTCGGGAACCAGGTTGATTTGATTTGATTTGATCTTGATGCGGTGCTGTTGCCTGTAAAGTTATTCCTTCAACAAGCTCACACACACCCAATCCTGGAAACCTGCCGACAGGTTACCACTGCAGAATCAGAAAAAAGTGCATGCAGCCAGAAAGCCAGAGGGTCGTGTTGTATTGGAACTTGGCAGTTCGTAGCGGTAAATTCTTCCCGAATTTGGTGACTGCCGTGGCTAGCTTCACTTTTCATGGGATGGAAGGTAGGGCAGGCAGCCACCGATAGGCCTTGAACAGACATATTGTTCGAGGATGATGAACCCTTCCAGTGGCCTGCCTGCCAGTGTGCCGAGTCAAATAGGATCCTTGACAGCAGTCAATTGCGATACTGTTGTGGTAGGTGGTGGTAGAACCGGCCTTTTTCGAATCGCCTGTCAAATCGTCCGTACCCTGCATGAGGAGGCCGGCTTGATGGTTGACCACTTGAGCTGTTGTCGCTATACTCCGTAGGTAGGCACGATTGGGGAAGTGAGGTCATCCCTCTACCTTACTTGAGTAAGGTAGGTACGGATACCCGTCCCTACTACCATAAAATCAGATACGGGGCAGGGCGAGTGAAGAAAGCATGGGACGCCAAAGTCTGGGTTCCCCGTTGCAAGTACAGCACCGCGGGAGTTCTGTTGTCGTCACAGAGCTACCTAGGTACCAAGGTACTCGTGCCTTTACAAGGCACCTCATGTCACCTCAGGCAGTGCAGCAGGTGGCTGTACAGTCACAATCTCGAGGTACCCCCTACTTCGCAGCGAGTATCGGGGCTAGGCACTAACCCCACTTGGGCCCAGATGGAGCACGCCGGAAACTGTCAATATTCCCTTTCCTCCCTCCCCCTACAGGTAAAAGGTACCTTACACTAGGTAGGCGACTCGCTGCGCTGAGAAAGAACCACCAACTAGCTTTTTCCAGGTGCTCCTTCTTTAAATTTTCGATGCCGCAGCGTACTTCCAGATGTCGACCATGACCCCGTCCCACACCGATCGGAACTTTGCAGTGTCTGATCAGTGAAAAAACAATGACATCGGATCCCAAACACCAAGATCCCGCCTGCTTTTCTGACGCCCTGGGCGGCGGCGGTCCAATCTGTTCCTTACCTTACTCTTTTTCTTGGTGGCATTTTGCCCAATCTCGATGACTGGCGTGACTGGGAAATGGGCGTTCGCGATCGAGATGTTGGAATTCACCGTGTCGCAGTCAATGGAACCTTGTTTGCACACCCGTCAATCATCACAACCCCCAATGATCCCATCCATCCATCCATGTGCCCTCCTCCGTAACGTACGGTTTCGCCTCAAATGACTTCAGCCAAATCTAGTCCCCGTCTTTTTTTCTTGCTTGCTCACTCGCTGCCAAGTCACGTCTTTTTGTTTCTGCGCCTGCCCTGCGTTGCGCTTGTAGTCTGGGTACAGATACACTTGTACCCAGTAGATGTCTAGACTCTCTCGACACTTACCAACCAGCGTGCCAGCGGCTTAGAGTCTGGGCATGCCCGCGACAGAACAGCATCAGCCCTGTCGCCTGTGCTTCCCATGGTGATCGTATGTGCCGTCTGCGATCGTATTCTCGAATGCCCAGTGACGATATGCCTCAACCAGGCCTGCAGGCCTCGCGCAAACATCGGCGATTTCCTTCTTCTCATGCTTCTTCCCGGTCTCTCACGCTCACAGTCTCCGTTCTCTCGGTGTCTAGACCAGCCGATGGCTCCTCTCAGCCCATTTGCTGCCCGCTAATCTTCATCTTTGATGAAACTTTGGCCCACGAGCTCCTTGCACTTCCTTATAGCTCATCGTCCTTCGGCAGCATAGAAGGCATCCAAGACTCTCCAGTTGGTCCGAGGTCGTCGGTTCCGCAAGCCTCGTGCTGCATCAAATCTACGTCACGGCGGGAAGTCCATATCGGAGGTTGGGTCGGGAGGTAACTAGCGCGTTGATGCTCTGTACCATTAGGCATGTAGGTAGCACGTTCCGCGGCGAAACCCTCCGTCGTCCATTGGAGCCCACGGATAGATCAACACCCTCCGCAGCGGGAGCCCTTGGCCATGTCGGTACGGATATTTGTAGAAGTGAAATGAATATTCATACCGGAGCGAGTGCTGGCCATGGGTATTGGCATATGGAACCCAAGATATCCGTACTCCGTGAATCCGTACCTAGGTACGGATACCTAGTGCTGTTATATCAGAATCCTCAATTTACCAGCTTCTGTCACCTCTCAACACCAGCACACAGACCACGTCGATCCAGTCAATGCTCCATCGTCAACAAGCTCCAATGTGGCCGTGGATGTTATTCTCTGATGGCCTGGCGCGTTGTCGCGTCTTTGATGCTGTAGCGTGCTATTAACGGGGTACGGAATGAACTGGATCGTGTTGGCACCGCAGGCGGTTCAGTCTGGCAACGCTGGACCGGTCCATGATCCCAATTCATGCTCGTCAATTCTCGTAAAGCATTGTTTGATGCATATCTCTCGTTCTGCGCCCCGTCAAAAGGGTCTGCATGCGCCTAGATGCCTCGCCAACCCTGCTTGCTGTCGGCTTGTCCAGCTTCGTCAAGATGGCCCGAGTTCCAGAACGCTCTTAATGGATTGTGGAGCTGGTGACAACCCAGAAGTGAAGGTACATGTGCTCTCAGCCTCATTTTGCGACCCGTCGCCCAAATGCCATCACCAGCCAAATGCACAATGTCCAGACTGGCGATGGCTTTCGTCTTTTACCCCTCTGTCATAGAACGAAATTTCGGTTACAAGGGAGGCAATCCAGTTACTTGCTAGTTCAGCAGACGGCGACGTTGCCCCTTGTGTCGGCCCAGAGTTACACGGCATGTTGTGTCATCAGTAATCGCATTGCGAAAATGCGATTCTTCTGCAAACTCAGTGATATGTCTGTTTCCCCGGCAAGACACATCGCACAGGCACCATGCGAACCCCCCTGACGACCTTTGTTTTGGGTCTGATGGACCATGGATCAAAGGTCCTCGTGTTCTGGCGCACACGGCCGTGACGGAACGGCTTCGCGTCTTGGATCGAATTCTGGTTGATCGATCACCGAAACATAACCATGTCGTTTATGTGGACGCTCCCTTCCGGTCTTCGTACAACCACTTGGGTGTCTTCCGCTAGGTATAGACGGATATTTGCAAACTGAACGAGAGACGTCAACGCAATTATTACGTCGTCCTGGCTGGCAGTCTGTTGTCTCACCGGCACCGTGCTTTGGGACAGCTACCTACGGACGAGGTGCGTTCCTCGACCGTGGCCCGTGGTGGCCAGATCCATCCGCGTCAACGAGTGCAGCAGGGGTGGTACCGGCTTTCGATCGCGGCGCAATTCTTCGATTTCAGGTGTCTTTCAATTCTTGGTGCAATGCTCCGTCTCCCCACGCAGAGGTGTGTGAATAGCCATTTACAGTGGTTTGAGCCAGTCTGAGTGGCTGCTCGACTGCTGACACGTCGAGAAGCGCGAGTTGGCTTGTCTGAGAAGCACACTGAGTGTGCAAGTGGAATCGACATCGAGATTCACTTCCACGGCCTGTTCTTCATTGGAGAGCAGGCAACGGTGACTGGATCGCAGGGTTGTTTGTAGAGTCAGACGCAGTCCCGTTGACTTCTTGAAGTAAATTCGTGTTGCTTGGTCATTATCCCCAGCAATTCTGACAGACATACAAGACTGCAGCAGCTTGCCCGTGACTGTCTATACTGATAGCGAGGTTCTCGCTCTCCTGGTCAACCGGTCAACAGGCGGTTTTCCACGACCTAAATGACGATGTTCGGTCCCCGCTCTTGTTTTGGGAAAAGCAGAGAGAGAGAGAGAGCGAGAGAGAGAGAGAGAGAGAGAGAGAGAGAGAGAGAGAGAGAGAATGCTGGGCAGGCGACAGCGGCATGACCCGCGATGGTCTCGAAGGGCCCGGTGCCAAATATGAGTGTCAATTCAGAAATTGTTGGTGTAGATGCCGTCTTGAACCTAGGGTCAGTACTGGTTTTTCGATAGTGGCTGTTCTGGCATCACGGGTTCTGGAAAATTGGTGAGAGAGTGTGTGTGCAGGTACGGCTTGGGAATGCTCTATCGAGGCGAGGCAAGGCGTGCCATGATGCCGCTACCGCTACCTCGCACGCAGTCAGTCGAGTCACGGAGCGGATTCCGTTTGTGAGAGAATGGTGGGCTGGCGCATCAGAGTCTAGCGTGTATGTTATGTCTGTGTGGTTGTGCGGCGTGGGCAGGTACCTTGTTGTGAGGTGTTATCGAGGGGGAGTGACTTTGAGACTTGAGTGCGAGAAGAGAAGAGTGGGTGAGATGGATGGATGATGGGTGAACACCCCCCCCCCCCTCTCTCTCTCTCTCTCTCTCTCTCTCTCTCTCTCTACGGTCTACCAGTGGGCAGTGGCCCAGTGCCACTAGCACTCGTTCCAGTTCCGTTCGGAGTACTGCATACTACGTACCCATGTTTTATTCTGGCCTGAGGCCTCATGTATGGTGGGTGCCTTAGGCTTAATGGGGAAAGAGAGAGGCACTGAACTGAGGCAGAGAGTCACAAAAGTCGCAGAGTGAGGCAAGCTACAAAGAGGGAAGGGAAGGAGACATGGATCAGGTAAGGTACGGATATCCATGTACCGGTACAGGCTTAGTAGGTACCTCAAGGGCCCATCTCAAGCGGCCGTTTCCTGTTCCTGACTCGCTGAGAACCCATGTCTTTCCATGTCTTCCAAAAAGGGCTCCATATTTGTCTGTCCTTGTGCTCGATCCCGCTTTTCTTTGCGATGGGCTTCCGGTAGGGGATGCTCATTGCTCACTGTTGTTGGTTTCCTCGTCGCCGACTTCTCGAAAGTCGGTTTCTGCCATCAGACGCCAGGGAGCCATGGGAGCTTGTCCTGGGTACCTTGAGCTATCCATCAGTCTGCTGCTCTAGCTTCTCTACTTGGGGCTTGGGGCCATTGGACATGCCACCCCAGATCACAAGTCAAGTCTGCGGCGACGTCTGAGGCTACCAGTACCCATACACTCACGCTCACTACCTTACCGTCTACCATCAACACACACCCACCCTCGAGAGAGATTCCCTACCGAGTATTGACACCTCTGACCTCACCTCTCAATCCGCGTCGATCACCGCGGGGCTAGTCCTTCTCAATCTTCGAACCGTTTACCTCGCCCTTCCTCCGTTCGATACTGCCATACACAGTACACTTATTCTCCCCTTGGCTCACCAAACTCGCTCTCCTCTCTCCGTCTCGGTAGACGGCCATCCCCCCCAGTTCTTCTTCACCGTTCCCAATTCCCAACCCGTGCAAAGGAGAGAGACGAGAAAAAAGACTTTGCCGGCCTGGTCACTTTCTCCCAAACCTAACCCCCTTCTTCGATCAAACAAACTTGGTCCAGTCTTCATCACTCCCACCAAAGAAGACGCGCCCTACTTTCGTCCACCAGACCATCTATCTGTACTCTTCCCCGTCGTTCATGCGGCTGTGAACCGCCGAGCCGGCTCAGAAAAACGCATTCTCATAAAGTACGTATTCTTTCCAGAGCGCACATCCCATTCCATCTGAATCCCGAAGCCCCTCTTTGCTTGGTCTGGTACTTGCCGTTGTCCCACACCCCAAAAGCTCGGTCTCCTTCAATGTCATCGAGATCCGTCCTCCATGTTGCAGCCACCAACTTTGGTATATCCACGCCATGCTTGCCACACGCCTTCCTCTTCTGCAATTACTTATCATCAACGCCCCAGGCAGACATAGACCTCGCCCAGCAATCGAAAAATTTCCGGAATACTACAACAATATCGCTTTTCGACCGATTTGCGCAGTATCGAAGACGACGAGAAGACCATTACATTGCCGACCGACACTCAGTACTCGAAACAGGCGCCGCCTGTCGCTGCCCAACCGTTGCGACTGAATTGAGGAGGAACCTTTCAATGATTGTTGGTTGACCGCGACGCAAAAGGAGGTGCTTCGACTTCGAGCGACGGAGATCAAGACGTATAGCGAACCGAATCGACGACTGAATAAAAAGGTTCGGAACTAGAAAGGGAATCACACGAAAAGTGGAAAGCCGCCGTACACGCCATTTCGTCGGAAATCGTTTTCGACGCGGAAGAAGTCCGCAAACTATCGCACAACCGATCCGTGACAGCAACAAATTTGGGTTGACGTAAATCGACATATGCCCCCCAGATCGACCATGGCGCAAGGATTGGACGGCATTTTTGCAGAGCTAGGCATCTCGCAGTATCTGGACATCTTCCTGGAGCAAGGATTCGATACGTGGGAGACGATACTGGACATAACAGAGTCTGACTTGTGAGTGAACCACGGCTATTGCCACGACACATCCTCGAGACTGACGAGGCTATATTTCCAGGGACGCACTTGGAGTCAAACTAGGACACCGACGTGTAAGTGCTTGACATACATCTGTGATCTACACAAGTCCTAACACAAATTAGAAACTGCAGAGACGTATTGCCAATTCTCGTGGCCTTGCCCCGGATGCATCACTAGTATCGCCCACAAGAGCAAGTGCAGAAGAGTCAAAGCCTGAGACACAACGTCCTGAGCAACCCCGACTCGAGGTCAAAGAGGGACCCGTTGCTACGAAGCGAAAGTATCGACGTCATCCTAAGGTTCGTAAATCTTGTGCAGACGTACACTTGTAGCTGAAAGAAACTAACGGACGCAGCCTGATGAGAATGCACCAGAAAGACCACCTTCAGCCTATGTGCTGTTCTCAAACAGTATGAATAGAATCCAACCTGCCTTGGAAGGCTTGAACACAGCTGACCGGCCCTGCAGAAATGCGTGATGACCTTAAAGGTCGGAACTTGACTTTTACCGAAATAGCCAAGCTTGTCGGGGAGCATTGGCAAAACTTGACTCCCGGCGAGAAAGAGCCATACGAAACTTCTGCCTTGAAGGCAAAGGAGAAGTACAACCACGACTTGGCCGAGTACAAGAAGACAACAGAGTATAGGAAATACAACCTGTACCTACAAGATTTTAAGGCACGGCAAGCCTCCGCAAATCAAGGTGCGTGGAGGTTTGTCGCTTCGAATGGCCGTCCAACTGACCTCGATCCAGCAAAAGAGTCGTCGAAACGTCAAAAGCTCGACTCGGGGGCTCGGCTGCAAAATGGAGGTAGCGCAAGTGCCACACCCGGGAGCCTCAGTAGCACGGGGAGTGGTACTGAGAGTCACCAAGGAAGCGAGCCTCCTCCTAACCGCAAGCAGCGTGTGGGTTCCGTGGTGTCGATATCCGAATCTCAATACTCGACAGCCGTGCCGACCCCAATTTCCCATCATCATCATCCCAACGATGATTCCGTACATTCCCCTGCCAGCGTCCAATTCGATCGAGAGAGCTTGCACTCCACAAGTCCCCGTACTGCTCAAAACCGGACCCATCGCCCAACGTGGGCAGAAGCCCCAGTCAGACCAGAGCCAGTCGCACTTCCGCACCTTCCTTCACTCTCGGATGTGTTCAATAACGGACGAGGTTTGAACGGCGTCTCCAGGTCCCCTGAGGCAAACGGCTTTGGCGGCTTTGCGCCCCCAACACACGCTGGCCCTTCCGCACCGCCAACGTTGAAGCACGAATATTCCTCCGCAGGGAGCATTTCATCGTCCGGTTCTGGGCTGTCTTTCCCCCGGACACCAAGTGAATCCTCTCTACCGATTCATGCGTTGTTGTCGAACAAGACCTTGCCAGGTCCTCCTTTCGAACTGCAACCCTCCCCGTTCTCGACTGTGCCACCTACTGGACCCCCACCCCTCCAGGAACAAAAGCCGCCCTTCGCTGGGCAGCAACAAGCTCCGATTGGGGCATCGAATGGTACTCACGGTCAACCCAAGCAAGGCTTTCCGCAGAGGCTAATGAGGTTTCAAGGTTATCAATCCCCACCTGCCTTACTGAGATTCCAGTCTACCTCCTCAACAGGGACTGATGGATCAAACGTGTCGCAAGCATCGTCGGGCGCTTCTTCGTCGACGTCGCTCGGTGTTCAGGAGAGGAGTGATTCGAAGCTCGATGGTATGAGCGCGCTGGTGCGGGCAGGCGAAATCGTGAACCGGCGAGTTTAGTAAGCGGACACGAGTTTCGATGCCAGGTCAGCGACTTCGTATTGCGATGATCGGGTGCGCAACGTGCTAATCTGGGCTTCGAGTTCCGTCTCGTATGTTTGGTTGTGATTTTACTCGGTTGTTTTTTCTTCATTGATGGCATCAGCATTTTGGTCAAGACCAGCCTGATTGGCTGAGGTCGGTGTGTTTGATTATTTGAATACCCTCATGGATTGGCATCGTTTGGAAATCTTGTTTGAGGTGGCGCAACGGAATGGTCATGGCGTTTTTTATCGTTTGGATTTGGCAATTGTTTGTCGTCCGAATGGTGTTGTAAGCTGTGTCGCATGGCCAGACGATGAATAACTTCAGGATATAGGGTGTTGACGGATACTGCATGATAAAAAAGCTCTCTGGTCGCTCGAGGAACCAAAAAACTATATAAACTGCATGGATAAAGGCACGCAGTATCAATTGAACAAATCGAATGCATTCAGATGGACATGATCGTACGCGAATGTGAAGAGAATTCGGAATGTAGGGGTTCAAAAGGGAACACAACATCAGAGCAAGGCCGGGAGGTTATGACGTCAACCAAAATAGAAGGGGTGAGGGAGGACCCTTTCCCTCTGCCTCACATTCTGACGGGATCATCACGGGCGTTACCCTTTCCTGAACCCCCTCAGGAACAAGCCAATACTTGCTGCCGAACGGCCGTTGGCACTAGTAGGTATGCAGACAGCGAACGGCAGCACGGTGGCAGGCATCAAAATGAAGGGTCTTCCCAACATTAGGCGCCTTCCTTGGTTGCTGTTGACCACCTCATTCATTGGTGGTGTTTGCGCAAGTAGCCCCGTACCCTGAGAAACGTCATAATTCTGTCAGGATTTCGGGGTCCTGGCAGCACCTGGCCTGATTTTCGATTTTTCCCAGAGCCCACCCCGGTCTTGGCGGATTTGGTTGGCTGACGGCTGGTGTTGGTTGGTTGGGGGTCCCTATTTTATCGTTATTTTTCTTTTGGCTTTTATTTTTTTTCCGGCCTGGGTAGGGAGTAATTTAGGCACGGATGCGGTGGTGCGCCGCCTCACTTTTGGTTCGGAGGACCCCTGTTACTCAAACGAGACTAACCCCGATTGGTACTGCCCCCCGTTGTCCCCTACGAACCCTGGTTTGTGAGCGCGTTCAACGGACACGAGTAAGGTGATGTGTTGATTTGTAGGCAGGTTCAAAGTTTGTGGAAGTTGCAATGTCTCGTGATTGTTGCAGGATGATTCAGACGTTGGGTGGATTTTCTTGATTTTTGTGATGATCCCGATTGTGGTGAATGTGCGAGGCTTTTCTCATCGTTGGCGATGGAGCACTCGGGACTTGGGAGAGTAAGGCGAAAACACGACGCTGCATGGGTAGCTCCTCTCGTGCACAACTTCGTGCAATGATACAGCTTCTACGAGGGATAAAGAAGATAAAAGAGACCCAAATATCAGCTTTCAAGAACAGAAGGCAGCACTGGCTTTGCAGTTGCCATTCTACGGGAGGACTGATTATTCCCCTTTGTTTCTTTTAATAGGTTTGGTGAGGATCTAACTTGACCTCTTTAATCCGTACAGATTGCTACGAGATATCTTAGTATCTTACAGGTCGCTATAGACCGACTGATTCTCATCACCACTTGGATCACATATATCCTATCGAGAATACGGGTATGACGAATGCCAGCTTTGAGGAAGTGGTTCTTCCTTTTACTGAGAATTTAGGGGGGAATAACTTCAATTCGAGTGCTACGTCTACTCCTACAAGGCACGTTAATGTTTTAATTGATCAAGCTCGAGAGTGATCTCACGCCATCCTAGATTCCTAGATGGAGACGTAGCTTATATGCAAAGTGTCAAACGGCACGTAGATGTCGTGTATTACCGGCTACGCGCCCACATTAAAGGTCCGGACGCTCTTGCTTCAGTGGGCAGGCAACCTGAGGGGCCACTCTATGGTACTCTCAACCGAGTATCCAACCTCAAGTGCGACAGGACGCTCAAGACAAAGTATATGTCGCCTCTGCGAAATGGAAGGCCATAAAGGTAGGAGCGAGTGCGCATGATAGAGCCATCCAAGTCCAGTGTAAACTCTATAAAGACGGAGGGAATGAAAGGGAGACTACATGTACAGAAGATGTCAAGGGATGTAGCGAGTAAGACGTGTTCGAAGTGGTAATACATTGCCAGCTGGGAAAGTAAGGCTTTCTTGGTCAAGTTCTAATTGATCTGGCGGCTTATATCGAAAGTTCTTAATGGAGACCGAGTATCCCATCACTACTTAATCACATAGAAACCCCTAGGGAGCATGCCGGTCTGTCTAACGCGTATTGCATCAAGAATACGCTAGGAGAAATCGCAGCCCAGAAAGGACAGTGGTTGGAAATAGTGATGGTGATCGAGACAAGACAAAGCGGTAAACTTCACCCTTCATTATCATTCAGTTAAAGAGGGATCGGGGTTGTCCATTGTGCAACATTCCGACGAACGCGACATAGTGATTGACGGTTGCGGTTATTGAGAGAGAAATTCGCGCGGGCCTGGGCCTTTTATATTAACTCTTTGTACTCCGTATCCGTCCTTGCCATCTGATAATTTTCTCCCATATTGTGCCCACTGCATGCGCCTAAATCATCCGACGATTCTGCTCGTCGTCCCTTCAGATTTGCATGAAAACCAAACCACTGAAACGCATAAAAACTCGGGGTCTTCCATCATCCTGAATAGCTCCAATCCGAAACGAAAAGGCACGGCGGAGAGCAGGGCCCTGAAAATGCGCCAAAACGGGTACGAGCATTTTTCTTCAACCCTCATACGGAGACTTGCTCCGTTCGTGACCTTGTCTTACTTAGCTCCCGTCCGTTCGTTTTCAACGGTCAAGCTAAGGCAATTAAGACGATGAAAAAATTCATGCTTACCTTAATTATGCATATCGCGAACCATTGTCCAGGCGTCAAAAAGCACCAACGCGAAAAACAAAACATAGGAATAGAGACCCCGCCGAGAGGTTCGTTGTTCTTGTGTCTCTTGATCCATTACATAAGACGTCTTCACATAGACTCTCAAGCCCGCCCTCGAGTACGTATACAGGTGAAGGTATAGAGAATAGCCTGCAAAGCCTCAAAAAAAAAATGGAATGTTTCCGCCCAGTTCATTATGAGACGTAAGGTTTACCCAACACACGTTGCCAGAAATCAAACATGCCGTCGTTCAACAAAAGACACACAAACGCCGATGCCTCGGCGTGTAAAACAGGATTCCGCCACACCTCTTCCCTCCGTTTTTTACCTTTTCCCCTTTTCGCGACGAGAGCAGCACGACTTTCTTACTCCCCTCCCACGATCTCGGCCGTCCAATCCTTGCGGATGTTCAGCTCCGTGAGCTCGGGTGTCTTCTCGATGACGAGACCCTTCTCGTTGGCGAGATGCAGCAGACTGATAAAGCAGAAACTTGTCGAGATGTCCTCCATCATCGCCTTGGGATACACCGAGCCGAGACCATTCATGACCTCGGTGAACTTGAGTTCCGTATCCTTTGCGGGCGGCTCTTGCGGTGGCGCTGGGGCATCAGGCGAAGAAAGTCTTGTGGAATCCTAGTGATGGGTTAGCAACAATTTATTCTCTGGTGTCAACGGCGACCGAGAGATTCGACTCACGCTATCCAGGCCCTCAAGACCCATGCCCTTCCAGATCTCCTCCTTCAGACGCCTCACATCCACCTTCTTAGCAACACGCGCGAACTGCACATAATCTGGCCGCAAGCGACGGGTTTGAGTAACCAAAGTCGTTCCAAAAGCGCCCGTCAGAGCATTGGTGGTTGCGTCGCCGCCAAGCAAGGCCGTCATGCCAAGAGCTTCTGTGGCTCCGACGTCGCCTTCGGCGCCGGGCGACAAGTGCTCCCGGGCATCCGCAAACTCGTCATCGTCGTCGTCCAAGCCACCGGCAAACGGCAGAGCATCGTCCTGGAAGAAGTTTGCATCGTAATCTCCCTCCGGCAGCGGCTCGTCCTCACTCTTGACAGGGGCCTTCTGGTTTGCCCAGAACGCCTCGTCCATCTCTCCTTCTGGGACATCTCTATCTTGTCCGGCATTGCCGAACATGCCGCCCCTGTTTCCGAGGATACGTCTCCTGCCAAGGCGTGCCTTAGGCTTGAGGAAGAGGTTGAGAAGTGATTTGGAGTTAAAGTGCTTATCATCAGGCAGCAGATTGCGGGACTTTGACTTCCAGTCCTTCTTGGGCATAGAGACGGCGGAGTTGCTTGACGCTTGAGTGTACAAGACGTCGGCCAAGGCTTGATCGAGGGGTGCTGAGAAGTCAATCTCGAATGGCTCCTTCTCTTTGCGCACCCTGGCAGGACCAGCCGGCTTGTTGACGTCCTTGATCTTTCTGATTCTCCAGTGCTCGGCACTTGACCAGTTTTTTTGCAGCGCTTGGTCGAAATACCCGAGAATGTCTTCGTGCATCTTGTCGGCACTCTTAGCGTGAGACATGGACACGACAAAATCCCCATTGTCAGAGTCCATCATCTCGACCCCGTCACCATCGCCAGCCTCCTCGCCTAGGCCAGCATCGTAGACCCGCATTTGGGGCTCAAGGGCGGCTTCCCTGGCCCAAGCCTCACCACCCTCACCAAAAGCCACGTCGGCGCCAAGCTCAAAGCCACCCAGTCCAAGGTCGTCATCGTCGAAGCCAGCAGCGTTGTCGCCGTCAATGAACATGCCAGAATTGTCGCCCAGCGAGTCTGGGTTCTTGTCCTTGTCTTGGTCGCCTCTCCAATCTTCCGGTGCTCTGAGAAAAGGAATGTCCATGGAACCAGAAGGATCGCCGAGGTCGAAGTTCTTCAGTGACGGACAAACGTCAAGCTCGTCAAGGCGGCCAAGATCGGAAAAGAACTTGGCGCCGAGGGCTCCCAGGTCGATCTCAACATCTTCGGCACTCTCCTGCTCAGGCTCCTCTTGTACCGCCGAAGCATCCTGCATCTCTGTGTTCTCGTCTTCCTCATCGTCGGCGTCTTCGTTCTTCTTTCGGGTTTTTGAGGTGTGTGCGTCACCAACTTCGTCACTGCTGTCGAAGACGATGCGTCCTTGGGCATCAATCATGAGGTGGTTCAATAACAAACCCTTGGCGCCACCTTCGTCGAAGTCTGCGGAGGTTTTCTTGAAAAGGGGATCCACGGCAAATTCTAGTTCAAACTTCTTGAGTTGAAGCGAGGAGAAGTTGGGCGCGAGGGTCGCCTCGGAAGAACGTTGTGTCTACGCACAAGTCAGCTTACTATCACAGCCGATATGATTCTCGTACCTACCTTGCGCTTCGGCTTCTTCCTGACGTTGCCGTCTTCGTCGACTTCCTCCTCGCTCTCTTCGCCCTCGACCTCGTCGCCCTCCTTGCCCTTCTTCTTGTTGTTGCTGTCCGCAAGACCACTCAGTAGCTTTCCGGTTTCAGTTGCGACACTGTCGACTCTGCTTGTGTAAATCTTGACGCAGCCATCCAGCGTGCAACTGGCTTTCTGGAAGTTGACTCCGTCTCCCTCCTTGAGAAGCGACATATCGTGGAAGTAGTCGATCAGGGCGAAATTCCATGAGTTGTTTGCGTTGATCTTGTTGTCTGTGGCCATCTTCATCCACTCCTCAAAGTTGGCAAGAATCGGGACCCGTTTCATAGGCGTGACCGCGCTCCCGCTGACTACAAAGCCTTCATCGTCGTCGTCGTCAATGACTTGCCTGCCTCGGCTGCCGCGGGCGTGGGGTGTCTTGGGGTTCGAGCCCGGTGTATCATTCTCGATATCTTCTAAGCTGCCGTTGCCTCTGCGCAGAGGTGTCGCGGCGGCAGCCTTAAGTTCGTTGCGCTGGCGCTCATGAAATGCGTGGCGTGATTGCGCTCGTCGCGCCTTTTCTCCCGCATCATCGTTGAGGGGGATTCTGTACATTGTTTAGTTTCGTTGCTAGGCAAAATCGGTAAGCGGGCTGTTGTCGCAAACGTACTTGACGGGTGAGTTCTTGAAGGGCGATGTGTTCATGGACCCAGAGGTCGCTCTGACGCTGCCTGCGCGGCTGTTTGCGCGCGGTACTTGGGCCACTCGAGGCATCTTGTGTGTGTTGTTGGCGATGAGGTTGTCGTCAAAATTGTTGACTGTTGCTGCGATGTGCTGTATGCATACTGAGTGGCCGAGCCTTGTGTTTACTTTCCCCACCATACGCACGTCCCGGGGCGACGCGAAACAACAATAGAGAGGTTTCCTGCCTTGAATATTAGGTGTCAAGTTTATCCTTCCGGGCCGGATGGGGCGGGGAAGCTGAAAATCCCGTTTCGTCCAAACATCAGATTGGATCATTGGATCGGCCCTTCACGGGCCCCCTCGTTATCGGCACGTGATACAAGATCGCTATCTGCCGAGGACTATGGAACTCTTCTCTTGCAGTTGCCGTTGCATGCAGCCCCCCTCTCTTGGAGTTGCCGTTCCGCTGAAGCACAGCCACATCGGAGGGGGGTTTCCCACGCAGACACGACCAAATACTTGGCGCAATCAGGGCACTGCCTGCGCTTCTCACCTGGTGGTGGCCAAGAAGCTTGCGTCGCTCATAGTTCCTGAAAGAGGCTGGGCAGGTTTTCCCGGGCTGCCTCCCTCAGACCCCATGAGTCGTACATGAAGGTGAGAAGCGCTTGCATTTGCTGTTCAGCTCAAACCCGCTGCAGCCCTCTTTTTTGTATAGCAACTCCATTGAGAGACATCTGTTCCTCCTTGTCCGGCGGAACGAGCGGCTTCACGGCCACGCCAACGCGACAGCGCGGTCTCTGCCATGGCTTCGGATGAGCCAATTACAATCAGCATTTGACGTCAGATATGCCAACGTCCTCCAACATCCGAGGGGGCGCCCTTCGCTTGCGGCCTTTCTACGCGACCGTTTTCTTAATATGCCTTTTGGCATCCTGGTCTATCTTGACCAAGGCTACCCAAAGACAGCTTCAGCTGCAAGACGCCTCACTCTCACTCTCACCCCTCGCCAAACGATCCGAGTTCACAGAATGCCGAGATGTCCACCGCGCCGATGATCAGTGTGCCTTTGTCAAGGCCCACTGCGCTGAGGACGAGGCTGGCCTCCTCTCTTACCTGACGCTGTATTATTGCGACCTTGGCAAGGCTCAGTGGTTGGCCTTTATCATTCTGGTCTGCTGGCTCGGCTTGCTCTTCACCACTATAGGCATCGCCGCCAGCGACTTCTTCAGCGCTAATCTCAGTACCATCTCTGCCATCCTCGGTCTCAGCGAGAGTTTGGCTGGTGTCACCTTTCTCGCCTTCGGCAATGGCTCACCCGACGTCTTCAGTACCTTTGCAGCCATGGGCTCAAATAGCGCCAGCATGGCTGTTGGAGAGCTGATTGGTGCCGCAAGCTTCATCACAGCAGTCGTCGCCGGCTCCATGGCTTTGGTTCGCGAGTTTAAAGTTGGAAGAAAGACGTACGTCAGGGATCTCTCTTTCTTCATCGTGGCTGTCTGCTTCACCATGGTGTTCCTGGCAGATGGCCACCTGCATTTATGGGAATGCATAACGATGGTCTGTTACTACATCTTCTACGTGGTTACCGTTGTCACATGGCATTGGTACTCGACAAGGCGGAGCCAGCGGCGGGTCCGGGAAGCAGCCGCACGAGGTCATGTCTACGGGACGGTGGGGCACCTCAGCGACGAGCTGGCACCGGAACCATACCGGGATGATCCCGACGATGAAGACCGGCACGCCGCCTCTACAGCCGCCTCCAGCGCTGGAGACATCAACGCTTTGGAAGCCGGCCCTAGGATCGAAGTCGATGGTCAAGGAGAGAGTGACGAGGAAGCTGAAGACAGCGATCATGGCCGGCACGTCGTGGCGGAGATGGCTAGCAGTATGCGAGTCTTGCGTCCTAGAGGCAGACGACGCAACACACTCACGCCTATACGTCCCAGTCTGGTCGGCGCTCTCGAGTTCCGATCTGCTCTGGCTCAGCTGCAAAAGGAAAGCAACCACCGGATGAGGCCGATGCATGGACGGGCCTACTCGGTCAACCACCTTGGAGGGCAGAGTGAAACGAACACAGTGGGCGGGCCGCCTTCCGACTCGGGGAGATACACCATAGGCGCCGTTGAGGAATTTGGACAGAACAGAAATCGGGCCTTGTCATCTGGCGATATCCCCGGCTCCGTCAATAGTCGCGACCATTCGCCATCGCCATGGCGCTTCCCAGCAACAGCAGACCCGATCCAACAGATAAAGGCCCAAGAGGGTAGGAACCGAAGTCTGTCGCCAGCCTACAAAATCGGCGGTAACCTGGCGCCTCCTCCTGTCGACGCAGTACCTCAAAGACAAGATAGCGGGGGGAGCGAACCGTTGGAGGCTCGGCCCTTACCCGGTCAACTTTCCCTCCAGATACCAAGTCGGCGTGGCAGTATGAGCGTCGGATCTTCGCCAGCATCGCCCTTCCCCGGATACACTGAATCGCCTCTTGTTTTAACGCCTGCTGCTCAGACCGAGCCAACCGAGTTCTTTGCGCCGCCTGGTCCAGCTCGCCTGGAAGTGCCATTTGCGCCTTATGAGATGGCCAACCCCAAGCCCGTAAGGTGGTGGCCCTACGCCATCCTACCTCCGCCGCACATCTTTTGGGCAACATTATTTCCGACCTTGCTAGGCTGGAAGCAGAAAAGCCATTGGGACAGATTTGTCAGTGCAATATCTGTACCAAGCATCTTGCTTCTGGTGTTGACACTCCCGGTCGTCGAAAACGAGAGTGCTGATGATTCATCCGACGAGACTGCTGTGGATCCAATGATGCGAGATCACGCTCACTGCGACGCTCCCGTACCTGCCCACGGCTACGATGACAATGAGGGAGAATCGGAATGGCAGCGCTTCAGACGGGCTACTCTGTCACATTCTCGTGGGCAGTCACTTGATCGCTCCCCCAAGGGCTCTCCAGCGCTGATTGCCATCGACTCTCCGAGTGGTGCGCGTGTGGCAACCGAAATACCTACAAGTCACCCACAGCCCATGAAACCCGCCGCGCCGTTACCTTCGGAGAGCAGTCTAGCTCCCGTCGATGAGTCGGGCCAGTGGAACAGATGGCTCGTCGCGATCCAGCTCTTCACCGGACCCTTGTTCGCCGTCATCATTCTCTGGGCAAACATGAAAGAAGACTTCCAGCAACCCTACAAGGTCCTTTTCAGACTCATTCTGTATACACTCCTAGGATCTACGATTCTGCTTGGCTTCCTCCTCCTGTCAACTAGCCCCGACAAGAAGCCAAAGTACCATTTCTTGCTTTGCTTCATGGGTTTCATCATTGCCATTGCCTGGATCTCTACCATTGCCGGAGAAGTTGTCGGCGTCTTGAAAGCAGTGGGTGTCATTTTCGGCATTTCAGAGGCCCTTCTCGGGCTAACCATCTTCGCGGCGGGCAACAGTGTGGGTGATCTAATTGCTGACATCACCGTTGCCCGGCTTGGTTTCCCCGTCATGGCATTGTGAGTCTAATTCTACCTCCTCCAAATACTGGTGATAGTCATGTCATGCTAATACCTTCTAGATCTGCGTGTTTTGGTGGCCCCATGCTCAATATCCTACTCGGCATCGGAATCGGCGGCGTTTACATGATGGTCCAGGCCGCCAACCACCGACACAAGAAACATCCTGACAAGCCATTCAAGTACCACTCGTACAACATTCAAATCGGAGGCACTCTGATGATATCGGCCATTACGCTTCTCATCACCCTGCTAGGCCTTCTCATCGTCGTTCCAATGAACAAGTGGGTGATGTCACGGAAGATCGGTTACGGTCTCATTGTGCTGTGGATGATCAGCACCGTCGTCAACGTTGTTGTCGAGCTGACCGGAGTGTGGACTGACGTGTCCTATTCCCTTTCTTTCTGACGGCACATCTTTTATTCCCTTTGGCTGCTGGTACACGTACAGACTGTATCAATATTGCGTTAGTGTATTACGCCGTATGAGTATACCCAAGCATAGCGTGCGACGAGAAAATAAACGAAACTCTCTGTCTTCTACTTATAGACAGTCTTTACCTCATGAGTACAAAAAGAGGAAATACGAATCTACATATATATACATTAGTTTATAAAAATAAATTACACAGATGACCACGCCCCCTTTACACTTCGGTTGATTCAATACTTCATTGGCTCTTGAAGGCCGCAACAGTCTCGTGAGTCTTGGTGATAGTAGTCGTTTCATCTAGCGAACATCAGGTTGAAGGCACTCAGGCACGGTCCTACGTTGCAGACGTCGATCACCATCTGATGTGTCTTTTGTTCGTGCACCAACGTTGGACCCTCTTTCGAATTGGAAAAGGCATCAGTAACCGAAGTTGTGACGTGCCGAACATATTGAGACGAACATATCATGGAACGCCAAGTACGCAATGTGCACCATTGTGACGCCAAGACCAAAACAAGGCTTCATCTGGTGTTGGTCTCTCGCGTTTCTTCTTCTTATAGAGCTCAGCTCCTGTGTATGTGTGTGCGTGTGTTTGCCAAGCCGTGTCATTGTGTACGTGTTTTGTGTTTTGGCCAACTTATGCCCTTCTACGAACGGAAGGGACGGACATTCGTGGAAGTTGCGCGTCACCATGGTGACTGACAACATTGGATCATCGAACTGATATGAGACAGGATCAACTATAAAATGAGTCTTGAATAGTCCAACAAGAGGCATTTCCCCGGTGCCAAGTTATCCCAGCTCATGCCAACTTTGATTATCAGACTCAAGCAACGCAAAACAAATCTCATACACAACTTTCACTGTCCAACCACTTTTACTTCCCTAAAACTACCAAACAGTCGAGTTGATTCAGTCATTCAACATGGGAGGCTTCAACAAACTCACAGACTTGGCCCAGCAACTCGCCGGCAAGGACCAAGGCAAGAAGGATAAGCAGCAGCAGGACTCATCAAACTCCCAGACGACGACAATGGCGTCCAACGACCAGGAATGGGCAGACGTTGGGTCGGCGGCCAAAAAGGCCTTGGCGGGCTTCCAGGCGGACCAGGCTGGTGGGAAGGGGCCCGATTATACCGAGATTGGGGTTGTTGCGCGGAGGGCTCTTACGGCTTATAATCATGGCGGCGACGGTGGTGCTGGTGTTGCTGTTGAGAAGGTGGGTAAGAAGGATCTTGCAGAGATTGGAAAGGGGATCGCTGTTGGGTTTGGCGGAAGTGAGAAGATGGAGGATGGGAAGCCGGGAGGAGCTGATGGTAAGCTGGAGGCTGGGAAGGGGACTGGCGGGGTTGAGGGCGAAAGGTTGGATGAAGGGAAGGAGACCAGAGTCCACGGTGATGATATGGCCGTCTCGAGTTCCAACGCGGAGGATACCGCCGGCCTGGGGAGCAAGAAGCTCTTGGAAGGCGAAGAATCTTCCACTGAGAAGATGGGGCTGGGCTCTTACACCAAGCGAGATGTCGGTGATGGTCTCGGTTTCGAAAAGGGCGGGCTGGGTGAAGATGAGGGCGTCTTTACTGGCACTGAGGGGAATGAGGCCGACGTCACTAGGAGCGGCGAAGCGACGAGCGGACAAGGTACGTTGTTTCTTCTTGAAAAGATTTTCCCTACATTTGGGTTGTTTGACTGACCTCTACCTCGACTAGGACTCCGTGGCTCGGGTCAGCAGCCTGTTGGCGTTACCGGTGGCAAAGAAGAGACTATTGGGGATCAGTCGGTTAAGAAATGGATCGAGTGAGGCGACGGCATCTTGCAAGGGAATTTGTCACAATGTAACTATTGTATTGACGGGAATCACTATTGTTGGTGAAGGACGTTCGCTGGCTCGAATGTCTGAGATGAGTGAGTGACTCACTCAAGTACTGTTGCTCCAGCCGGACTGTTTTGAAACAGAGGCGCAGCAGGATCATCACTGGGGAAGTTGGTGGGTTATTTCGCGTAACTATCGGATTGCGTGTTAGCTAGAAAATTGAAGAGAGAGAGAGAGAGAGAGAGATCTGTCCTTTAGAACACTGCAAAATGCTAGCTTGGTCTTGGGGTTGATGCAAGATATGCACCGACGTCGAGGTACGAACTACATAAGTTTGCTAAGTAAAGGTCACCCGAGTCGGAGCTGTCCCCGACTCCACCATCGAGCCCCGGAGCATGCATCCCTGCCGGGGCGCCGCCGCAAGGGGCAGCTTTCCCAGCCCGTTTCCATCACAAGCCTGTGATCCATCCGTCGTCTAGCGCGGTATTAGTGCCCTCCTAGTCCACTGTAAATTGCAATCTATCGTTCCTTGCGCCTCATAGTGATCTGCTTCAGGGAACCTCACAGAGGCCACGATGTCTACATCTCCCCGGTGTATTGACCACGTTCCTGGAGAAAACAAAACAACTGGTCATTTTAGCACTGCCCCAATTCATGGCGTAGACAATCGAGCTGGTTTCAAATGTGATCACTGGAGATGGCGTATCTCATCTCGTTTCAATGCCAATGTCGTATCGTTGCTGGTTCCTGCATAGAGTGAAGAGCAAGCTGTCCACAGCTTCGTTGCAATGGCGATATTCGTCAGGCAAGGTACCTTAGACAAGGTACGCAAGGACAGATCATCAGGAGATGGACGTTCGTGAGATCTGGCAAGTTGAGAGCTGCAGTAGTTTTCGGTCAGTAGATGATTGAATATCCATTGTCGAATCACATCTGCCAATGCTTGTGGTAAAAATTGCAGAAGGTGGTTGTAGTTTATGAAAAGTTATAAATGAAGTTCAACATCGCACTGCTATTCGAGATTCTTAGTTCTTTGCACCTACAGCTCCAGACCCACCTTGCGCCTTACACCAAGGCCCAGACCCAGAACCATTAGGGGGACCCTTGAACCGCAACAAGCACCACAGTCCCTCACTTGCCCCGCCATCCAACGAGCAACCCCGCGCCGCGCCTGCCACATCCCGAAAAGGAGAGCTTCCTTTCCTGCACGATTGACCGCCCTCCCTTTGCTCAACTTTCACTTCGGCTTTTTTCCCTCTCTCCCTCACAGCGCGCCATTCTCACGACAAGACTTCTTCCCTTAAGCTTCACCACAAGCAGTCCCGGAAATAAAGCCCATTGTACCAGCAATCACAAGAAAAAACACCGTCACGATGGCTACCTCTCTCCCCAGCTACCCTCCTCTCACGGAGCGCCCTCTGAAGAACACCATCTGCCTCTTTGACGTTGACGGCACCCTCACTCCTGCTCGTCTCGTAAGCTCTCTCTCAAAGCCGATTTCCACCCAATTCCTTCCACCCATAGCCATCCCAAAGGATTTACTCGTTGCATTACCTTGGGAGCCGTCCCAGCTAACACCTCCACCTCCCAGGCCGCCTCCCCCGAGATCCTCGACCTCCTCGCCCGCCTCCGCCAAAAGTGCGCCATCGGCTTCGTCGGCGGCTCCGACTACTCCAAGCAGCAAGAGCAGCTCGGCAACGCCACCACCCCCGTCACAACCCTCTTCGACTTCTGCTTCTCCGAGAACGGCCTGACGGCCTACAAGCTCGGCCAGCCCCTTGCCTCCAACAGCTTCATCAAGTACATTGGCGAGGACCAGTACAAGGAGCTCGTCCGCTTCGCCCTCCATCACATTGCCGACCTTGACATCCCCGTCAAGCGCGGCACTTTCATCGAGTTCCGCAATGGCATGGTCAACATCTCCCCCGTCGGCCGTAACGCCTCCAACGAGGAGCGCCAGGCCTTTGAGGCCTACGACAAGATCCACAACGTCCGTCGCGACTTTGTCGCCAAGCTGCGCGAGAAGTTTGGTCACTTGGGTCTGACGTTCAGCATTGGCGGCCAGATCTCGTTCGACGTCTTCCCTACCGGCTGGGACAAGACGTACTGCCTGCAGCACCTCGAGAAGGAGGCGCAGAAGGAGGGCGGCGTCAAGTACGAGGAGATCCACTTCTTTGGTGACAAGACGTCCGAGGGCGGAAACGACTACGAGATCTACGTCGATGAGCGCACGATCGGTCACTCTGTTACCGGCCCCGAGGATACCATTCGCATCCTCAAGGAGACTTTTGACTTGTGAACCGCGCCGGAGAGCAGTAGGCTCTGAATGGAATCTTACGAAAGACTTTGGAGGTTGGGAAAGATGACTTGACTTGGCTGGGAGACGAAGCCAACAAAAATGGAGTTGCGATGTCATGGGCCAGCTTTCTAGACTTGGTGATCGTGGCCTCGGGGAACAACAGACCTGCAACATGTCGAGAGCGGCAAAATGCCCGTTCTCGATACTTGATTTTTCAGTAGAGCAGCAAATGGAACGAATTACAATGACTACGAATGAATTTTCAGAATTGATGTGGTAGGTTTGAAGTGTATCATCAGGTCGTCAAGCTATCGCTGTATACCTTGTTCCTCCTCCTCCAACTAGCCTGAAATGGTGATGCGAGGGAATAGTGAGAGAGAGAGAGAGATATTAAAGTAAATCCAAGAAAAAAAAAAGAACAACAACATCATTCTTTCATCACCACCGTCCACTCCAACTCTGCTTTATCTCCCAAACTCCAAATGGGGCACAATCACCGGTCCATACTTTGTCGGCGCCGTAAACGCACCATCACCCTGCACGACAAAGTCCACAGCCAGACTCAACTTTTGCAACCCTTGCTGCTGCTGCTGCTGTCCCCCATTGATGATACTACCGGCGTACTGCGACCCACCGACGCCGCCGGGACCGCCAGCGACGGTCTCAGGGTCATACGCGACGACGGCGACGTAATTTCTGCGTCCCATGAGCTTCTTGAGCTCGCGCGCGGAGCCGGAGGCGTCGGTGTGGAAGATCTCCATCATGTCCTCCTTGGAGTCCGAGACCTCGTGGTTGGACTTGTGGCCGTTTGCGGGCACGTAGAGGCTCTTGTTGTTGTGGAGGAGCTTGAGGATGTAGTTGCTCGCGGGTTGGGCTACGATGGGGGAGGTGATGACTTGGTACATTGTCTTGTGGTCGCTTGGGTGTGTTGGGTCGTGGACTAGGCCTGCTCCTGCGCAGTTGACGTCTGTGTGATGATGTTAGTAGGTGAACAAAAGGGACATGGGCGTGGGAGTCATGGGCGTGTGAAAACTCACCTCCTGACAGGAAAGTCATGCGAATGCCCTTTTGCTGGGAGATGCCCTGGAGCGTGCGGATAAAGTACGTCCTCTCCAGGTCCTTGGACTCGTGCGTCCACATGTCCTTGAGGATCTCGGCAATGTCAATCTCGCCAAACTGGTTCAGGACGTTGCCCATGAGGCCGGACTTTCCGACCGCCTTCTTCACCTGCGTGAAGCCTTGCGCGACAACGTCCTTGCCGCCGACGACGCCGGCCACGGAGCTCGTTACCTTGCCGAGGATGTTGTACGAGGTATTGACAACCTTTTTGCCTGTCGCGACGGCGCCCGCCAAACTCTCGACCGCCTCCAAGCGGGGGTATAGCAGCGGCACCGAGACCATCCAGATGCAGTGCTGCACACTGGGGGGGAGCGTCGCGACTTTGGGGAATATGCCCTGGTAGGTCGGGCCGGCCATGACGCGTGCTTGGTTCCTCTCGGAGCGGCAGTCTGGTCCGACGACGCAGACGGCCGGGCCGAGGTACTTGACAAAGTGCCAGCCCTGGCCAGTGATTGTGAAGAGGTCGCCGTCGTTGCTGACGTTGCGGAGGATCTCTACCGTGGTGTGGTGCTGGAAGAGGAGGTACATTTCGACGGCGATCCGACCTACGTTTTTGAACATTTGGGATCCTTGCATGTACTCGGGATACGAGCCGTAGCCGTCGAAACTTGGCGCGTGTTAGTGTACATGACGAGAAGCACAAGCAGAGTCTGCAAACTTACATATCGTGGTCATCAATCTGCAACACATGCGGAATCTGTGCAAAGGCCTCTCTGAGGTAAGGCTGGTCAAAGTGGCTGGTATAGTAATGGAAGTAGGCGTGCGAGACGTCCTCCTCATGGCGCGCGGTCCACTGCGCGTTTTTCCTGTTGTCTCTGCCGCTCATCGCCAACCACTGCTTCAGCAAGGGCACCTCCTTCCATAGCCTATCACCGTAAATTTGGTTGCCTATGCCGAGCTGAACGTGGAAGCCACCGCAGTCTACGTTCTTTTGGAGCACGTCCTTCCACATGAAGCCCACGCCCCCGAGCTTGGAGCGCTCGGCCTGGGAGGTTGAGGCGGCAAAGTCGTTGTTCGAGTGAGCGATGAATCTCCAGCCGACTTCATGGCGGCCGGCAATGACAAACTCGTATCTCGTACATCCCAGGTGAGAGGTGACTGCGTACGTCCACCTCTCGGTGCCGCTCTCACTCATGGGCAGCTCAATATCGTACTTGTAAAACGTCCAGCGCTGATGAGTGAAGATATTGTGCGGCACCAACTGTTGCGGATTAGGTGAAAGGTCGTTGCTCGGGTGGATGTGAATTGTCGGGGGTTGCGGTGCGTCCGTCACGATCATGATGCTTCCCAGCCATGTCCCCTTTTCAAAGTCCATGTTGCAGTAACGAAGGTACGGCCCAAAGTATACACCGTTGGTGGGCTGAATTCTGTACATGTCAACACCCGCGCTCGGAGGCGGTCCAGAGAACCCAGCAGTTGTGGGCGTCTGAGACGCCGCGACGCTCATGATGCTCTCAGCGTAGCCCGGTGTCTGAGGGGGGAACATGGGAGAGGCCATGGCCTGCTTGCCAAACATGGGCGATGCGAGAGGGTTGCCGTACGTCGATGCCGTGGGAGACAAGGGAGCTGCCTCGTGTGTGATAGGATTGGGTCCCTTGGGGAACTCCCATTGCGTCGCCTGAGAAGCCAGATGAATGTAGTAGTATTGCCCCGAGTTCTGGTCGAGGTGGGCAATCCAGCCTTCGGGTAGCGGTGGTGGCGAAGAAGGGCCAGCACCCTGGAAGGAAGGAGGCGCCTGAACGGTTTGCGTGACGGGAACATTCTGCGCTTGAGACGACGAGGGCTGTCCGTTTTGCTGTTCTGGCCTTGGGTCGTTGGCGAAGGCGGGGTGGCCTTGCAACGAAGGTGACGCGAGCCCGGCCGCTGCGGGACCAACAGTCGCTGGCTTCTTCGGGGGCGACTGAGCAGCAGAGGCCGAGGACACGGACGGCGTTGAATCTGCCCGTTGCTGAGTAGGCCGCTGCTTCTCGGCTGGGTAAGACGGGTTACCAGGTGTGACGCTCGAGTAGGCCGGCGGGGGGTCGTTCAAGCCCATCCGCTGATAATCCTGCTCCAGGACGCTGACTTGCAGGTTCGTCTGTTCGCCTTGGTTCTCTGCCTGTTGAGGAGGAGGGCTGAACGTAGGTTGCGTAGGACTCGTAACCGGGTTCATGCCCTGGTACACCGTGGGCGGGCCATGAGGTTGGTTCTCTGGGTTCTCCGTGGGAGTCCACGGCCGCGCGGGCGGTGGTGCTCCTCCATACTGAGCCAATCTCTGGGAGGCTGCGGCGCTCTGTGCCTGTTGCGCCTGAAGGCTGGTCAGTGTCGCCGTGCCAGAGATGCCAGAGGCGGCATATCGCGCCTCGATGCCGCCGCCCGGGATGACCCCTGGTTCCACGATTGGGGTCTCTGGCGGGGGTGGAGATCCCCGGCTGGCGCGGGTTGTGGAGGTCGAAGCTGTCGAGGCGAACCTGTTCACGCTGTTCTGGCCAGGCATCTCGAGACGATCAGCACTCTGAGCACTCTGAGGTGGTGGCCGAGCCTGGTACTGGCTCTGGGCGGGCGGCGTAGAACTGGATGCGCCACCCGGTGGAGGGTAGTAGGGCTTCTTGGTGTAAGACGGGTAGTTTGTAGTTGTAGCAGCTGGCCGCTGAGGTTGCGGCGCGGTCAGCGGCTTCGCGAAGAGGCCCCCGTCGTCGCCAGCCGGGCTCTGCGGAGAGGTGGCGCCCAAGGGCCTCGGACCGGTACCGCGTCGCTCGGCGAGGGTAGGACTCTTGGTCTCTACGGGGCTGGTCGCATTGAAGCGCGGGGTAGTATCATTGTAGTCGGAGCCAAATCGCTTCGGGGCGGTGATGGTAGGTTTGGTCGGTTTGCCAGGCCGAAGGTCCTCCTCGTCGGGATAGGGTAGAGGCGCGGCAGAGCTCGAGGCGCCTGGCGGTAGAGGGAAGGTCGGCTTCGATGTGAAGGAGGAGGAGCCTGAGGCGGACGGAGGCGCGGGGTACTTGAAGCGGTCGTTGGCGGGGTTAGGACTCTGCGGTTTGAATATTCTCAAGGGCTCAACGGTCGGGCTATCACAGTCTTCCTCGGCGGGTTTGTGAAGGAACAGTTCGGCGTCGGGAAGGCCGCGACTGCGCTCCATGATGGGCGACGTGGTATCGTCGAATCTACTTAAGATAGATTGTGTATCTGGGGGCCGGCCGACTTGCGCAGGTACGCGGATTGCTTGATGCGGGAATGCGAATGACGCACTGCGAAAGCTCAAGTCTGCAGGTCAGGGGGAGCAAAAAGTTATTTATAGGAGCTGTCGAAGGTCGCCGTTTCGTGCCTATCGTTGGATGCTTGAGAGGATCGCAGCTGCTGATGAGGGGTGGTGGGGTCCGGGTTCGAGTCTCACGGGAGAGGTCGCAGATATGGCCGGCCGGTTGTCAGGCCCGTTAGATGGATGAAACGGCTGCGGCACGGAAACAAAACCAGTGTATTTCCCAAACGTGTGTATTTTCAAGAGAAAAGTCAGAAGTCGAGAACTATCGACCAGAGAGGGAGCGCGTCCAGGACAAAGAATAAGAACGTGCCAGATAGGACGACGGGAGGGAAGCAAGCAAGCGCCAGGTAGGGTTTGGGCGGCCTGGCAGCGGGAAGCATTGGGCAAAGTGCAAAGCGGCAGCATAGGGACATGGGCCAGGATGGGATGGGACTGGGAACCAGGGGGGCAGGAGGAGGCGCTCGTCAGCGGCAGAGAAGAGGCAGAGAGGGGAACTTGGATGCTCCTCATGGCACAGGCAGGCCGCGCACACAGACTGTAGGCACCACCCACCTCACACGGGAGAGCGTGGCCGGGCTGGCATGGCATTTGCAGGGAATGGATGAGATGGCCAGCTGCCCAGGACTGTCGAGAGAATCAACTGGCTGAGTTCGCAGTCCCAAAACTCCCGGCCAGTGACGAGTGACCAGGAGCCAAAGAGCCTGAACAACGTCAAAAGTATGGAGCCCTGCATGGTGGCATCTTGCCTAGCGAAGCTTCATGATTGGCTGTATATCGTGGGCGCTTAGAGAATGTGCAGTAGCAAATGGGCAATCTTCATCTTGAAGTTGCAAGCGCCTGCCCATGAATGTGAACTTCTTGGCTCGAAGAACGTCCCAGTGTTCCAGAGAGCCTAGAGCATGGTGGCGGGGCCAGTCGAGCTCGTAATGCGCATAGAGCGAGATGAGAGTTGATGTGAGTGATTTGTCGAGGTGGGAAATGTGCGGCATCTGGGATCCGGTGAGTCGAAATGCGCCGAGACAAGCAGTGACAAGATAGGGGGAAACTTGGAAGTGCCCGCTCATCTGCAGCTGTCGTGAACCATCACTTGATGGAAGCGCCTACGAGATTTGCTCAATGTCGTTGTCTTGTCGAAGTGGGAGGATATGGTGGTAAAAGTAAAGAAAGCAGAAAGATGGTGACAGACAGACGGGTCTTGGATCGACGCGGAGGGAACCGGCACCTTCAGCCAATTCCGGTACCTTGAGGTACGTACCCCTTTGTAGAAATGTGAGAAGCACGGGCCATCCGTAGATGTCTTGGCCCAAGCTTCGCGGGTAATTACATAAGCCCGAACATCTCCACTTTTCAGGCACAGCGGCGTCGTTGGTTTGCCTCCGAAAACGTCGCCCCGTCATTGGCCGAGTTCGGGGTTGTCGTCGTCGCCCTTTTCGCAGCATTCGCATTTCATATGATTTTCATTATCGAAACTCTCGGCTTCAACAAACGGGACTCGGACAACAACGCCTTTGTCAACGATATCCCGGCAACTTCTTCCTGAAAGCGAGTCACAGTCAGGGGAATGTTGACTCACACAACTAGCCTTACGACGACAACTCCACGCATTGCATGGGCCACCAACACCAGCCACGAAGTGAGGCCTCAGTTTGGCGTGCGCGTCCTCCTCGCTGCCAGTGGCGACAAGTCAAACACCACCAGTGACCACCCACTATCCGCATCTGAAGTGCAACCAAATTCCCATGTGCACAAGTGTGGCACACGCAACTTGCCAACTCCCGAGCTCATCGCAAACTGACACAGCGGGACCGACGCACGCCACTCTCCACCCCGCACTTCACCATATCCCGCTGCCACTGTCGGACCCGGGCTCTACTGCGTAGGCTGCTCAGCTGAAGCTTTGGCTCGGTCCCGCGCGGGCTGCGTAACACAACTGACATGGGACGTTGTCAAAGAAATGGCGGCGTTCTCTAGCAGTCTAGAGCCCATGAAGGTGTACTATTCGGTCTCCGACGATGCCTGAATTTACACTCCGCAGCGGACATTTGCCCTACGCCATCAACAAATTCGGAGCTCGGTGTAAAAGTCTACCGCCCCCCGACGGGATCCAATGAGCTGTTTGGGCCGATCCCCCTACCACGACGACGCGTGGCGATGTTGTACCTCCCCATGTCCCTTCCGTTCGAAACCATTCCGACCTGTTCGACCGCCAAAGGCTAGAGGTGTATTGTGTGTGGCTCTGACTGGTTCGACCTAGGCTTCGCAAGTGCTTTTGCCTTCCACGTTTTGCCAGGAGTGTATCAGACGAAAGGTGTACGCATGCTCCTGCCTTGTAAATAATATGGCCTGTCGTCATCTCATGATAGTATATAAATGAACTCCTTCGTCGATATCATGTTTCTCTTTTCCTTTCCCTCTTCAGCTTCATTGCTTTCCGACAATCATCACCATCCTACTACTACTCATCCTCTCTGACACATACCTCACCAATCCACACCACAAACAATCACACATACGCATACAACAATCCAACATGTCTTGGGCAGGTCCAAACGGTAATAACAATCCTTGGGGTCGCCCAGGTGGCCCTCAAGGCCTCTGGAGCTTCATCCACTCTCTCGACCCCAACATGCGCGCCGGCGCTGGCGTAGACCACTCAGCTGCTCCCGGTCCCTGGGCCAACTTCCCCCCAGGCTTCCCCTTCCACGGCGCTGAACACGGCTTCGGCGGCGGCCCTGGCGGCCCAGGTGGTCCCGGCGGATGGGGCGGTCCCTACGGCGGCTGGGGCGACTTCCGCGGTGGATTCGGTGGTCGTCGCCGCGGCGGTGGCCGATGCGGTGGTAGAGGTCACCACGGACGACGCGGCGACATGAACGAGGGCGAGGGCGACGGCGAGGTCGTCGACGAGACCATGCGCAACGCCGATGATACTCCCGAAGAGGGCGACTTCTCCGACAAGGAGAAGGACGACTCTCCCGACACCATGCGCGACGGCCCCAACGAAGACGGCCCTGAGCACGCAGGACATGGACATCCTCACCCTCACCCTCACCACCATCATGGCCCCGGTCGCCGCGGTGGTCCAGGACGCGGAGGTCGCGCCGGTCGCTTCGGTGGTGGACCCCCTGGTGGCGGACCCGACCCCTGGGCGCGCCACAGCAGACACGGCGGCCACCACGGCCACCGGGGCCCACCTCCTCCCCCCGGCCCCCCGCCACCATTCGGCGCTCCTCACCCGCCCCCGCCCCCTCCCCCGCCCTACGGACACAACCCAGCCGGCAGCTTCGACTTTGCAAACTGGCAAGAGTGGCTGAACCAGTTCGCCGACCACCCCTTTGCCCAACAAGTCCGCGACTGGGCCACCCGCTTCGGCGGCCTCAACACCAACCACAACAACACCGGCGCCCGCGACGGTGGCGCCGACGACGACAACAACAACGACATCGACTCGGCATTCACGCCCCCCGTCGATATCTTCTCCACAGAACGTGCCTACGTGCTGCACTTTGCCCTCCCCGGCGCCAAGAAGGAGGACGTCGGCGTGAACTGGGACGCCGACAAGGGCGAGCTCCGCGTCGCGGGCGTGGTGTACCGCCCCGGCGACGAGGAGTTCCTGGCGACGATGGCGTCTGGGGAGAGACGGATCGGTATGTTTAGCCGGTCTGTGCCGCTGCCGCCTCGTACGCGCAACGCAGCGTCTACCTCTGAGGAGATTGACGCGCTCGCCATCACGGCCAAGATGGAGGATGGTATCCTCGTCGTGACTGTGCCCAAGGTGGAGAAGGAGTGGACGGAGATCCACAAGGTCGATATCGAGTAGAAGAGTGTTATTTTAGCTGCTTCTGCTTGAGGAGGAATATCTTTTTGGTGGACAACGGTTGGATGTAATGGAAGCTTCATGGTTAATGGGTTTGGGATCTTTCGATTTTTTGGTTTGGGCTTGTAAAGGTATTCTTTTGGTTTCTGGATATTAGATAGCTTCAACAACCGTTTACACCATTCTTCTGGTATTGCCCCTTTGAAATTGAATGTTTACTAGTGACATAATCAGCCAGCGATGAAACTGGTCCTTCTACGCGGTCCCAAGATTGCAGTAAACTGAACAGCAATATTCGATGTGGTGGAGTAAGCTCTCCCTGAGCTTCAGACCGATAGCTTCATCTAACAAAAGACGATGGCTCAGCTATACTCGAGCTGCTCCAGCTCTCCCCATCGTCTATCGAAGAGATTTCTCTCCCAGGTGTAATCGCCCCGCCTGGCTCGAGTGAATGTATCGCGAAGGTGAATACACCGCAAAAGCAAACCCATCCAGACTCTCAATTTCCATCCCCGTCACCAGCACAGGAGGCGCCTTCCTAGGTCGGTCGGTCAAGTCAAACTGGTTGAGCAGTGAAGTAGTTAAAAGGTCGATAATTATAATATCTTTACCCAACAGCCTACTCGACGACAGGCTACGAGTTCGAATCCTAGTACGAGCACCGAGATATAGCCACACCGGTGGTGAATTCTTTTCTTTTCTGCTGGCACAGGTGGTTATACGTTACTCCTCTTCTCTATGTTTGGCCGTGGAAGTTTAATCAACTTGTGTGATGTGTTAAAGAAAAAAATCGTGGAGATGTTGGATGAGCGGACATACTAGAGATGATACTGCATTCATAGATCCTTAGACCATTGGCTGAGTGGCCAGCCTGCTTCTCTTCTTGGGGGGGGTTAAAATTGCAGTGAATTTAGTTCGCCTCACTTTTTCTCACCGAGTATTACGTTGCGAGTGGTGTTACCTACTGTGTACTTGACTGCACATTCCACCCTCACCGGAACTCTGGTTGAGTGGTCAGCCTGCTTCTCTTATTCAACCGTCCGGAAGGGGGGTTAAATTGTAGTGTTTTTTTTTTCTCGCTTCTCTTTCGTAGTTACTTGCCTACACAATCCACCGCTAAAGTTGGTGAGTGGTCAACTTGACGTTTCCAGGCGCAAATACTCAAACACCCTTCATTGCATCCAAGGCAAGATACCTTATGAGCACCCATCGTAACATGACCATGTTTCTCCAATCCGCCTAAAAACTCCATAGCATGCTTGCCTAAACCTCAATCAACCCTTACTTACATTTACCATGGGCAGAACCAAACGCCTTGATATTGAACAGCTTCAAGAATAGAAATTGTCACCCAAAGTAAACTGAACAAAAGGTCAAATGGTAGTTCCCAACGCCCGATAAATTTAAGGGTTCCACTGGTGCCGCTTATGATTCACTCACTCAGTTGCTGCCCCAGCCGCTTAGGTTGGTAAAGAGGGCAGGGGGAAAATCACAAGCATCGTTGGTGCCTTTCTTGTAGGCGACGAATGGAAGGCTCCGGTATATTCTAGTCGGCATATACCCATACTGCAAGTCTGTGATTCCTCCAGGCAGGAAGGAAGACTTTCCAAGCCTGGAAGGAATCAAGATCCATAATTCTTCTGCTGAGGGTTTCGGCGGGGTTTCGGCGGGATTAAGAAGCTATGGTGCTCCTCTATCTTGGTGGTTTGTTAAATACTGAGGCAAAGTGATACCACGACTACTCCATATTGGAAAGAAAAAGAGTAAATAGCACGCCCTGGCATCGCAGAGGCCTACAGAAAGGATCTCAAGTCTATAATTTCGGGCTGGACTAGAGGCTTTTTGGACTGGCTGAGTCCTCCAGTACCCTACTCTCAAATCTTGTGTTCCCATATTCCGGTGGTGATGCTAGTGGGTGTCAAACACGTGCCTTGCGTAGTAACAAAAGATTCTGCAGTTTGGTTTGTTTTCTCGCCATATCCGAATAAGGTTTGCAAGATCTTATGTGAGTACATCTAAAACCTAGATGATACGATGGAAATGGATCAGGTGTTCAACGAAGGTTGGGGGGACAGCCTTAATGATATCGGAAACGCGGGCAATGAGGGGGATAACAATCAACTTCTGTCCATTATATCCCACCTAGAATACCGTACGTTGTGATATAAAGCGTAGACATCTCAGTAGAGGGAAGGAAATATGCTCTGAAAGGGACAAACACCCCAAATCCACCAATTTCTAATAGAGACCATTTTATACGATTCGGCTACAATGATACACAGTACACAAATGAAACAACACAATTCGCTTTTCCAAAAGAGACGATACTACTTAAGACACGAGGAACACACACACCACCCAGACAATGAGCTTCACCAATACTCCCTTGCATTGCCCTCAAACGCAAAGTTAAGCAGAACGGCAATGAACAAGGAAGCGCAGAGCGCACTAGGCCCCCACTTGTCGTAAAACTTGGCCGCCTTGCGATTGCGAATGGCGTTGCTCCTGTACAGGTAAATCACGACGGAGTAGCAGAGCGACATGATGGCGAGGAGGGTAAAGACGCCAGCCACGACAAAGGACATGGTCGTAGGCTTGGAGCCAAAGTTGAGGAGCGTGACGGCTACGGTGCCGACGTAGATGGAGTACTCGAGCTGTTTTGCTATGTTAGCAGCAATTCAAAATTTCTTGGGTCGAGGGTAATTAGACTTACCCATCCGAGGAAGGTCCTCTCGGCGGCAAAGTAGACCTTGGGTTCCACGCGGACTGGCACGTAAATCTTCTTGCCCTTGGGGGCCTTGAACCTCTTAGTCTGAATGGCCCCCGAGCCGAAGAGCGTCGTCTGTACTTCGCGCCTAGGGATCACAGAACCACGGGGATGCGGCACGGTCCACTTAAGCACATCGATGGCGCGCTCGCCAAACGCCTGTGCCTTGGTAGAGGCAAGCGCCTTGTAGTAGGTCCAGCCTCCGACCCGTCTGGCTTCCTCGAGGGCCTCGTCGGCATCGTACTCCTCGTCCGAGTCGTACAAAAAGTCCTCATTGTCGACGGGGGCAATGGTGTCGACCGTCTGGCCTTCGACGTCAAGCGCGACCCCGCCATTTCTGGAAGCTCCCTGGCCACTGGATTCTCCGTTGGTAGCGCCGTTATTGCTGGTAACCAAGGGGCCCTCCTCGTCATCAGAGTCTAGCTCGTCGTCTTCGTCGTCATCTGATGTAGTGGTAGTCGCCGACTGGTTGGGCCTGTGGATACCAAAGTCGTGCGTAACGGGCTTCCGGATATCCACGTCCATCTGCGGCATCCAGAAGGGAAGCAGGTTAATGCGTTCGGGGAAGAGGCAAGCGACGCCGTGAATGAACTTGGAGAACTTGGGCACGGCCTCCACAAGATGGCTGGAAATGAGCTGGCGGACCCATTCCGGAGGTTCTTGGCCGAGCTGCGTCTGAAGCTTGACCTCGAGGACAGCGTACGGGAAGCGTACAATGTCCTCGGGAGGCAGTTGTGAGAAAGGATAGTCGATGCCAATATCCATACGTCTCCAATTGTCACCCGATCTCTTACGACCGTCCAGGTTATCCTCGCGGACCATGGTCAACTCAGTGTCGAGCGAGATACGCACTCGAGCATCAGCGGGGAGCTGGAAGGCGGTGCGGTTGTAGAAGGATCGGCACACGGGCTTATAACCTTTCTTGAGAGTCGAGTACTGGACCTCCTTTGCGAGTCTCTCGTCCTCGGCGATTGCCTTCTCGGGCTTCTTGCCCTCCTTACGCGCCTTTTCAAAGAGAGCGGCGGGGAGCAGCTCGCCGCGCATGTAGGCGTTGACATTCTTCTCCTTAACCGAGAATCGCGCCTTGACGGATTTCTCGCCGGTCCAGTCCTCGCGATGGGTCTTGCGTTCGACAAAAATGTTCTCGCTCTGCATTCCACCGTACCATCTCAGACGGATGGCCTCGGCGCCCTCAGTCTTCTTCAGACGGCCCTCGTACAGATCCCAGTTCTCCGGGTTGTCGTAGTAGATGGACGTGATGGCCGAGTCCTGAATCTCAAATTCCTTGCTTGCGTTGAATACCAGCACGGGCAAGTGCTTCAAGATGATGAGCTTCAGCTCCGTCACGTTGTCTGGGTGGACCCAGTACTTTGTCGTATTGCGAACGAAGCTTCCCTGGGAGCCACCGGCCGCGCTGTCACCCTTGACTGGGTTGCCCCTCGTCCTGACCAGGTCGTACAACTTGGAAAGCTGAACCACGGAAGCGTCGTAGTTTTCCTTGTAAAATGGTTTCGCCTTGAGTCGGGTGTCGAAGACAGGCTTGAGGTGCCAGCCAGTCGTTTTCTGTTGCCTGTCAGTAATCCACCCGAACAATGTTAAGGAATATGCCTCACGTCATGCTTCTTGATAATCTTGTAGAAACCAGTGTAGTTGAGTTGGACAAACTTGGCAAGATCGTGGACATCGGCAATGATGTCGCTCAAGTCCTCCTCGAGCAGCATAAACTCTTCCTCACTAGGGCCTTCCTCGCGGGGACCGCGCTCGACGAGGCGGTTAACGACGCCCTTGACCTCGCGCTCGCTCACGGCAATGCGCCTCGAGATCTCCATGGCCTTGACCTGCTGTTTCGTGTGGACCTTGTCGAGCTCGGCCTCGAGCTTCTTGACGAAACGGCCCTCGTCTTCCTCGGACCACTCGCGCTTGCCGCCCTTGCCCTTGCCATTGCTATTGTCGGCGGGTGTGATGGGACCGGTGGCGGTCTTAAGATCGGCCTTGAGGGCGTCGTAGTCGATGTAGTACCATTGGTACTCGCGGATGATGCTCGAACGGAGCTGCTCGCCGAACTTCATGACGACGATGCCAGGAGGGGCGCGCCAGGGGGATTCGCTGGGTGCTGGACTCGGTCGCCAAGTTCGTTCCTGCGTCTTTGTATCATAGACAATTAGCATGAGGAGTCGGGTCCCGAGGGAAATGGCATCATTGGCATGGGCATAGCAGGGCGGAAGCAAAGGAGGCTTAGTCGAAGAACGCCTGGAGTACCTTTTGGGTATTAGGGGTTGTTGACGGTGGAGTCAATTGAGGAGATTTCTTCGGGCAGAGGTCTCACCTTATGCGGCTTTGCGCCGTGTAACCGACTGCGCGAAATGTTCCAGATATTGGAGAAAAGTAGGTATGTAGGGTTTGGGAGAGCTCTCACTTGTCGCGCGGTCGGGTGTTGCAGGCAAAACAAAAGGCGATGGAATGCGAGGCGGCGGCCGACGGTTACGAGACAAGCTTCGGACAGGGGGGGCTCAGACGGGGGGGCCGCTACCTTGGTACTGCATGCAATGTGCTGCAGTTGCCAACTACGTTAACTGAGTGACACCGCACGGCCAATCCTCTATTGTTCTGGGGTACCTTAGTGACCCATTGTCTTCTTAAGCTACCTTACATTCCATTACTCAAGTCCCTTCATTTTCAGATTTCTTTCGTACTTTCAGAGCTCAACATGAAAATCCAAGCCTCCCTATCTTATGAGGCATATCAAGTACGAAAGCCGAAGAACGTGGGAGCTGGCGCATTTGTCGTATCTCCTTCGCAACTTTCAAGTCCTTAGCGGTCCTGACCCAGTAAAGCGCAGCTTCAACCCGGCTTAGCTCCAGGTAGTCTGGTGGTCCCAGTGGGTGTCTGGCTCCAGTTTCCGCTGGTATCCAGAGCTAGCCGCAGGGGGGCCATGGGGGATCCATTGGCCAATTGCGAACGACAGATGCGCACGTGCGCCAGACGTCACATAGCTGTTGCTGCGGGAGGGCTCGACCTGGAGGATTTTTTTTTTTCGGCGATGGCGGGGTCGGCGGGGGATGCATGCCGGCCGGGCACGGCAGACAAGACTATTCTACCTTACGGATAGACATCCGGCCGATATCGAATCCTACCACCACCACGGACCTAGGCACCCCTACAACCTCCGGCACACCGATCGGAGCAAAGCCGCCTCCAACCCCAAATCCCTTTCTCCCGGTCGAGATCCCCCTCCTTGGACGAACGAAGCTCCCAACCCTTTCTCGACTACCCCTCTAAACCACACACAACTATGGCGACACCGATCGACGACTCGATGCAGTCCCGCATCACAACAGACTGCCCCGACGCAACCCGCGAAATACTCCTCCACGCCTGGAGCCACGACGCCTCCGCCCTCAAGAAACTTCTCCAGGAACCAGGCCAAGCGAGCTGCCAGGACCCCACGACCGGCGAGACGCCCCTCCATGCCGCCATCCGCGCCTGCGGACCTGCCGACAATGAGACCAAGAACGGTGTCAACGGCGACGAAGAAGAAGATGGCCAAGTGGAAGAAGCAAAGGAAACAGTCCACGAGCTCTTCCTCTCCGGCGCAATCTGGAACGACGTCGACAACAACAACGAAACACCAGGCTGCCTCGCCCTCCGTCTCGGCCAAAAGAGCCTCTACAAGCTCTGCGTCGAGGCCGGCGTGCGCGCCGAGATGCTGTTTGGGTTGTTGGACGGGTACGAGGCGCTTTCTTCAGGGGGCTCGGAGATGGACGAGGATGAGGTTGAGGTCGTCGAGGGGACCGCAGACGCCAACGACGTCGTTATTGAAGACGTCCAAGATACGGAAGAAGCTCCAGAGCTCGTCGAAGCACCGTCACAAGCAGCCGCCGAGGAACAAGAACAACCCAAAAAGTTTCAACCACCCGCCGTCCAAGACCCCTCCCTCAACTCGGAAGAGTACCTCGCCTCGAACCTGACCTACTCCTCCGGCAAACTCGTCGACGAGGCCGGCAACGGCGTCATGATGGCCTGGGAGACGGAAATCATGCGCAAGAGCGTCGACGCCCTCATCCCACCACCCACCACCGAGGACGCCTCCGACGCGGACGCCTCCACCACATCAGGCAAACGTATCCTCAACATCGGCTTCGGAATGGGCATAATCGACTCCATGTTCCGCTCCACCTCCCCGGCACGCCACCACATCATCGAAGCCCACCCCGAAGTCCTCGCCGAAATCGACAACACCACCACCACCACCAACCCAGACTCCATCCCCTCCACCTTTGGCGCAGCATGGGAAGCCTCAAGCCCCCAAGAAGGAGCCTACAAGATCCACCGCGGCAAGTGGCAGGACGTCATCCCTCAACTCCTCGAGGCCGGCGAGGTCTACGACGCAATCTACTTTGACACCTTTGGCGAAGACTACGGCCAGCTTAAAACCTTTTTCACCGAGTTCATCCCAGGCCTCTTGGACTTTGAAGGCCGCTTCAGCTTCTTCAACGGTCTGGGCGCCGACAGGAGGATATGCTACGATGTCTACACAAAGGTCGTCGAGATGCACATGGCCGACGCCGGTCTGGACGTCGAGTGGGAGGAGATGGACGTGGACATGAAGGGGTTGGAGAAAGCTGGTGCCGGCGAGTGGGAGGGTGTCGTGCGCCGGTACTGGACTTTGGATAGTGAGTTTTTCTTCTGCCTTTGCTGATACATCAACGAGACTAACCGGATGACAGAGTACCGCTTGCCCACATGCACGTTCATGGGCTAAAATAAGTAAAAACTGGGGGTAGGAATACTGCTTGTATGAGCTATCTAGTAGGTCCGGTGGACATAACCGTAGAACCAATGCAGATAAAACTTCCTGTCAACAAAACCCCTCATCTAGCAAGACTTCGCTTTTGTTTAATCTCATTCCTCCTCAAACCATCCTCGCGATTCACACCCCACCTTGAGAGGACTATGACGTGAAGTTCTCGGGGTGGAGAATGCCAGCCATGTTGCCGTTCTGGACTCTCTTAAGGGTCAAGGCAGCAATCAGGGCTGCGCCGACACCACTCCCGTCCTCTGCTGCAAGAATCTCGACGGGATCTTCCTCCTTAGGGTTGGTCTTAGCAGGCCAGTCAAGGATCTCGCGCAGAGCCTGGGCGCCACGGGCCTTGAAGTGGGGGTACTTGTTAAACACCGAGCCGTCAGCACCAACGTGGCAGTTGTCATAGCCCTTCTTCATGCAGATGGCAGCAACACCGCAGGCCGAGAGGCGGGCGGCGCGGGTGCCAATGAGCTCGGCAAGGCGACGAACCAGCTCCAACTCGGATCTGGTGGCCTTGAGGTTTAGCTTGGAGAGGAAGAGATCGCTAGTCTCCTGCAGGTTCTCGAAGGGGTCGCTGTATCGGGTTAGCATGCTGGTCAAGGATTGAGGGATCAAGGCAAACTTACTCCTCAATGGCGGACAGGAACGAGGAATCCAAGGTGTAAGCCTTACGGAGCTTGGCAATGTCCTGGTTCTCGAAGATGTGCACAGACTTGTTGTCATGGAGGTCAACGAGGACCAAGCGGAAGATCTCGCCCAAGTAGAGACCGGCAATCATCTTCTCAAAGGCCTGCTGGCCGGGGCGAGGAGAGTCCTTGTCAATGATGATGTCGTAGGGGGTACGAGGCAAGACCTTGTGCTCGTTGTCGAAAGCACCCCACTCGCAGTTGATGGCCATGGGGGTGTTGGGAGGCAAGTTCATGTGAGCAAGCTTGGGGATAGAGCCGCAGTCCTCCATATAAGCAGCGTTGCAGCCAGTGCCAAAGATACAGCCAATCTTCATCTTAGTGTCGGTGTAGGCAGAGGCAATCAGGGTGCCAGTGGTATCGTTGATCAGGGCAGACAGCTTAATAGGGACATTCTGGGAGAGAGTTAGTTACTAGCGCTTCATCTTTGCTCCAGGGATCTCATACCTTGGCCGCCAAGGCAGCCTCAAGGAAGGGGACAACGTTGTGACCCTCAACTCCGGCAATATCGAAACCCTTGGTCCAGCGCTGGAGGATGCCCTCATCAATGTAGTTCTGGGTGGCAGGATAGGAGAAGGTGAAACCAAGAGGAATCTTCTGAGATTGAGGGTGGTCGGGGTGATGAGTCTGGATGAACTGAGCCAGGCAGTCGGCAATGTACTCCCACAGCTCCTCTGACTGGCCAGTCTTGAGCTCCTCGGGCATGCGGTACTTGGACTGAATGATATCGAACTCGGACTTCTGATCCGTCAAAGTGATCTCACAGACACGGAGGTTGGTTCCGCCCATGTCGAGGGCAAGGTAAGTGCCAGTCTCGTAGCCATCGGGGAAGGACATAACCCAGGTTGGGTTCATGGGCTGTAAACATGATTAGAAGGGTACTCCAAAGGCCAGCAACTATTCAAATTTCAACTTACGATACTACCGCCCTCGACACTCAGACCTTTGCTTCAAGTCAGCTTCATGAGAAAATGCGCCTCTCGCACGGGTGTCAACTCACCCTTGTCCAGCTCTGTGATGAAGTGCGCGCTGATCTGCTTGAGCTTCTCAGTGGGAACAGTGAACTGCTCCTCGAGCTTCTTGACCTCGGCCAGAAGATCCTTAGGCACATCGGCCATGGAACCTAAATTTTCACACATGGTTAGCGAACATTGATCGTATTGAATCTGTAGATGTGAGTTCTTGCTTTGACGTGACGGGACAAAGATATCGGTGTGGTGGTAGGATCTATCCCTTGTAGCGGGAGCAATCGCTCTGTCCACCATTGTGACGGTTGTGAGAAGTTGGCTGTAAGATTTTTGGTGTCTTGCCACACTCGAGCGTGACAACGTTGGTGGAGGGGTATCACAAAACGATTGTGTTCAGGGAAACAAGATCCAGGATCGAAGCTCTCGGTACAAAGGGCAAATAATGACAAGCAAGCAATGTAGCGGTCAACACAAGAGGTTGGAGGGTAGACAAGCAGCGCTTGCCAGCTTGTTTATACCAGAAAGCTGCAGTAATCGGAGAAAGAAAGCTGGGGGATCAAGGTGGGGGAATGTCTGGCAAAGTGAGACAGTGTCTTCCACCTCAACGCTGGATGGCTTGAGCTTTTCCCAAGAGAGTTGCTTTTGCTTGACAAGCTAGGCACCCCTCTGGCTTGGGGAAGCTCCGGCCACCAGGGAAGAGCTGCATGGCGGTCCAGCCTTGTGGCGCGTCATCTCCGAATGGCAATTAGCCGTCCCAGCCGTAGGTGGGAGTTAGGATTGGACGGTGGTAGTTGTGATGGTGCGAGCGGGAAGAAAGTTTGGAGGGTGAGGCGTTGAGGATGACTTGGAGGGTGGGACGACACCAGCGGCATGGCGTACAGGGAGCAGTAGCTTGAAGACCACATCATCTTGAGAGCTGTCTCTGTCTCAACGTGAGGCGGTACACCGTGTCCATCTCACAAGACCATCACGTCGCCCTTGGATATTTCCAGGACTCCAAAGGTAGGGAGAAGGAGTGAAGGGAAGGGGAAAATCATTCGTGGCTGCAAAACTTACCCTTCCTACTGGGCGGAACCTTGGGACCAAGACCAACCATTTTGACCGAAGCTCTGACGGATGGCGGGGTAAAAGTTGATGAGGGGTAGCGATTGAGCTATAGGTGATGATGGGTGCAGCAAAATAAAAGCTGTCGGATGCTGCGTAGGTATGTATGCCAAAAAACACACGATAAGTTTGTTTGGTGTTGTGTACGTTGCTAGGTGGGCGGCGGGCGGTCAATTCGAGGTGCGTCGGGTGAGGGAAGTGACGTTGAGGGAAAAGGTGAATGGGCGTGGATCATCTGACCGAGAGGGAAGGAGGTGAGGTGGGAGGTCAACCCAAGGTGGACTCCTCTGGAGATCACTCACTCAGCACAACTGCACGCTGCTGCACTACCTTACGGTTACCTTGCCTTACCTTACGTTGTGGCCCCTTCCTCGACTCGCTCGACTCGTCGAGTCCCCGAAGCCGCTGAGGCACATCTCCGATGGGGCATCCAATCCATGGATGTGTCTATGTACCTATTTACTGGTACCAAGGCATATTGGTAGGTATGAGCCTTAGGTACCAGGGCAGCTCAAACTCCAAAACTGCACACTAATTTTCTTGGTACCTTTTTCTCAGTCGTCCCACTGGTCGCGGATCAGAGCCGCCAACCCGCGTCTCGCTCGTCCAAAGGTTACCACGAGATTTGCAGCGGCCTTACCGTAGCTGGGATGGCCTAGATGGCGGCCAGCGGTGGACCCCTAGGGTTGACCTGAACTGACCTTAGCTGTCCACCAGCCTAACTCCGATAAGATATCTCACGTTTAGGAGATGCTGGACGAACGTGATAGTAGAGATTTCCACACACCACATCTTTACGAGCACCTAGAATAACGCCGGTATAGTCAGAATCCCGGGTGGAACGGGCTGGAAGCACCGGAAGCGCCGTTCTCCAGCATCCCCAAAGCCCGGAGGTTGCGTTGCGTGACGTCTTGTTGAGGAACAAATCGCAGTTCAGGAAAAGAAAGTCGATAGCTGCGAAACCCCACCATATACAGATAGGCAGTCATCATTGGTGGATATCATCCAGATGACCCCACATGCCAAAGTATCCACGTCCCTAAGCGAGAAGACAAAACGTGGGCTAAGCGCGTGGCTGAAGCTGTCCCGCAGTGGCACCTTCCACGGTTAAACTGTGGCTTGACCTCACCAAGGTCACGCTAGTGCCGCGGGCCCAGCTCGGACTAATCCAGCCCCGACCCGGTCGCTCCCAGTGAGGTGGAGCTCTACATGGCCCGTGCACGTCGTTAAGCAACGTATCCGTAAGCTTTTTGGCTGGGGGTAGCTGTCTCAGGAGCCAGATCATCAATTCGGGCCATGGAGTGAAAGTCCCCAATTGCGTCTCAACAACCGCTTTTCTCCATTCTTGATTCTCAATTGCCGGGAGAGCTCTGTCGATGAGCAATTTCCCCCTCCAACCCACATCATGAGAGCCTTCGCCATTGCCGCCGGGCTACTGAGCCTGCTCTCCCCGATTGTCGCAAGCTCCGACTCGACTGCAGCTGACAAGGTGTCAAAGGTCAACCTGCCCGCCAACTTCAAGCCGCCCCAGGTCTTCAAGAACGCCAACCTTGTCCACATTGTCTCCCTCGAGAAGAACTACGTCAAGGAGTCAATCAATGTTTTGATTGAGAATATTGACAAGCAGCCCCAAGATGCATACTACCTGCCCTTCACCCCCGAGCAGATGTCGCGCATTGGAGGCTTCGAGGCCAAGGACAGGAAGAACCCCGAAGCTGGCCCGTTCGCCGTTGATGCGGTCGAATACGATCCCCTGAGGTAGGTTTGGCTCTTGAACATAAGCCATGATGTACATGACAAAATTGACTGGAGCAACAGCGAGATTCAGTACTACAAGATCCAGCTCCCTACGCCCTTGAAGGCTGGTGGCCAGCAGACGCTGAGCATCTCCTACTACCTCCTCCAGGCCTACAAGCCCCTGCCGGCCTCGATCGCCCAAGAGGAGCAGCAATACCTCACCTACGACTTCTCCATATACGCGCCCTCGGCCTACGTCACATCGAAGCAGAAGACCGAGCTCAAGTCCCACTCGTCCAACATCCCCGACTACACCAAGCTGCCCGGAAGCGGCGACATCAAGGAGTTCCCTCAGAAGCAAGGTGCTAAGCTCACATATGGTCCCTTCGAGGAGAAGCCCGCTGGTGCTGTCTCCCCCGCCCAGGTGCGCTTCGAGTTCACCAAGCCCGTCACCCACGTCGCCCAGCTCGACCGTGACGTCGAGGTCAGCCACTGGGGAGGAAATGTGGCTTTCGAGGAGAGATACGAGCTCTACCACCGCGGCGCCAACCTGTCAAAGCTCTTCAACCGTGTCAAGTGGGCGCAGGCGGCGTACTACAACCCCAACACGTACGCTCTCAAGGAGATGAAGTTCCCCCTCAAGGTTGGAAGTGCGGACCCGTACTTTGTCGATGCTATTGGCAACGTTTCTACATCGAGATTCCGCAGCAACAAGCGCGAGGCGCTCCTGGAGATCAAGCCTCGGTACCCCATCTTTGGCGGCTGGAAGTACCCCTTCACCATCGGCTGGAACTCGGACGCCAAGAACTTTGTCCGCACCGTCGAGGCTGGCAAGTACGTTGTCAACGTTCCCTTCCTCGAGGGTCCTAAGCAGCCCGAGGGTGTTGAGTACGCAAAGGTCAACCTGCAGATTCTGCTGCCGGAGGGAGCAACGTAAGTGGAAATCGTGAGACTCTTGTGGTCAGGTTCTAACAAGGATATTACAGGAACGTGAAGTTCTACACCAGCATCCCCCAGTCCGCCATTGTCGACTCTGCTGTCAGTGTTCACAAGACCTACCTCGACACCGTTGGACGCACCTCGGTCACCATCAAGGCCAACAACCTCGTTGACGAGTTCCGGGACCGAGAGGTGATTGTCTCCTACGAGTACTCGGTGTCATCCGCCCTGCGGAAGCCCCTTGTCATCTTCGCCAGCACCGTTTCCTTGTTCGTCGCCGCATGGCTCATTGGAGGACTGAACCCCAAGATTTCGACTACGGCGTAGATGGCAAACAATACCTCTCTTTAGACATTGGAGGTGGGAAAATATGGGAATTGAGTGAGCTTTTCATAGCATTGTACATGTAACATCAGATGGGCATTTCAAAAAAGCAGAACGCGGAATGAAACGGCTTTAGAGAATCACGAATTGGACTGACGAATTGGTCCACCTATGAACATAACTTCTCCACGTGAACTCGTCTTCTTCCGACTTTTGTCATCATACTGCAGGGTCATAGATGCTAAAGTTAGCACGTCCATCAATTAGTGTACCTGTGCTACTTGAGCGAAGCCTTCGAGAAGAGCATCCCTGCTGTCAAAAGACGAGACCGGTCCCCGGGAAGGGGATGCAGGCTGACGTCGAGGGCTGACTAGAGGTGCGGGCAGGGCAGTACGGTGAGGAGGAGGTCCAGAGAGTGTGTGTGTGTGTGTGGGTGGAGTGGGCCGGATGGCAAGATCTGATCTCAACGCGATTAACTGCCGTCCAGTCTTCTTACGAGCGACAACAGCACTAAGAGGTCATGGTAGCCTGTAGGAAGTTGTAGTGTAAGGCACCTATGTGAAGTTAAGCCCGCGGGTCCGAGATCGTCGGTCGCCGGGTAAGCTTGTTTGACAGGATTCTGAAGCCTGTCTTGCCCAAGGTATTTTTATTTTCCGTGGCGGACGGGCTCTTTTGCTAGTGTTTTTTCCTTGCTTTCTTTGCAGGAACGGGTTGGCGTTTTGACTGTAACGGTAACGGTCAATGATACCGTAATACCGTATTTTCGACGAGTGTTCCCGGATTCAAGAGCCGGGTTTTGGGCAGAGGGAAAGGGAAAGCAATAGTTGACAGGAATTGCAAAAAGGGTTTTCTTCCAATTTGAGGCCCTACAACGAAGTTCTGTGATTCAAACAGGCCGCAACTCTAAAAAAAAAAAAAAAAAAAAAAAAGGTGAGGGAAAGTCTGGAACCCTTCACCCTGTACTCTTTCGAAAGAACCAACTTTCCCTCTCTAGCTAGAATCCGTCCGCCCTATCTTTTTTTTTTTCGATGAATTGTAGTGTGTCGGTAACCGTAGGCACGCAAAGACCAAAAAAGTAGGTTGGTTAGTTTAGGGGACCCATTTGCCATCTCACGCGGATCAAACTGCGAGGTGGGGAGACCCTGGCTTCTGGGAATCGGTTGACGCAGCCTGCGCAGGCGGTCTAGACACGCCCCCAAGAAATTGTCACGTCCGTCATATCTGCTTGTTCTCGAACAAGGATGGCAGATCCAAGCTCCCCAACTGTCTGTTCGTAATTTGTCCCCCGGCGCTCCGCCTGCGGATTGGGAGCAAGGATCGGAACCAGGGCAGCTGCGCCCAGTGCTTCACGAACATGGCCTGGAAAAGCCTGGAAGGGAAAGCAACTGTATGGCGTATCGACGACACTGCCCACCAGCCAGCAAGTGAGCAGAACCGCATCAGAAAAAAGGCCAAGCCGCTTTCTTCTTACACCATGAATCCCTCCCTCCCCCCACTGTCAGCCAACCAACCAGCACTCTTGCTAACCAGGGTTTCGGTGAGGGCCGCCGCGGTCCCCGTCTGAAAGGGCACCTAATAGGTGATGGTGGGATGGTTGGGAGGGTAGAAGGGATGGATGACTGACCGCATAATCCTTGGAAAGCTCGAGTACCTACGGATACTGTTCAGTCTCTTTTCTCCCCCTCCCCCCTGACTATTGTTACTTTACCTTGCTTTAGTAAACACACTTGCTTAGAAGAGAGGTCCAAGCCTGACATCTGGTCTCTGGTGAAGGGTTGAACAAGAATGGGAAATCATAAAAGGCAGCCTGTCCGCCCACCACCCATCATCACGCTTCCAGTCCGGCGCATGCATAGCCTTAGCACTTCAGCAAATAGAACCTTCTTTGGGATCTTCTACCTTATATCACTATTGTCCAGCTTTTTCAATATTTGATTAGCTGCAGACGACCTAATATTAACACAACCTCGCCTATTTACAAACAAGCAAACGCTCCTCTACAACAAGCTCCGGTGCAACCCCAAAATTCACGATCTACAAACCGACACCACCGATCTTTACAACTCATCCATCATTCAAAATGTGCTTCGGAGCGGGAGGCAAGAAGTACTACTACCAAGAGGAGATCGTACCGACCCGGTACCATCATCACCACCACGGCCATCACCACCACGGTCACCACCACCACCATGGACACTCTCCACGCGCGAGCTACACGAGCGTGAGGAGGTCGTACGTCGCCAGCAGCCCGCGGGTTAGCTACGTCGAGCCCGTCGTCTACGAGAGGACCAGCCGCACCTACCGATGAGTCCAAGTCGGCACATTGTCATGGGCTCCAGAAGCTGCTTTAAAGATCCTGAGCATGTGGGAGCGGCGCGAAGCGGGGAGTTTAGACGAGGGAACGGCCCATGGACGTTTCAGAGGGTGGGGGAGAAGAACGGGCAGTTTTTCAAATGGGTCGGAGGAAGGAAAAAGGTTTTTTTATATGAGCCTGTGGAAGAACCATGGCGATCAGCGACAGCGAATATTGGCGGCCCTGGTGTGTTTTTCTTAGTTGGAGAGGGACTGTCCAAAGTGGCTTTGGACGAAGCGCTCCGTGAGATCACAGGAGCAGCCTATCCTCGACTTCGAGGGGTCTGGAGTTTTGTATGATTAATGGTGGTTTTTTTGGGGGGGGGTTTTTTTTTTTGGATTGGATTGGGCGGTAATGATTGCTACGAAAGTTTACAAGTTATACATGACACCGGCTTGTTTGACAAGCTTTTTTACGCAATGAAGGTTCCTCTGCTCTCAACTATGGATGATTCCTCTCCATATCATTTAACGAATGAAGGGTTGCGCATGACAAACTCATCCCGCCTTCATTGTCTGTGAGCCTCACGCATTACACAGCCGTGCGCAACAAAACACGGGATGAGCACTTGGAAGTTGCCCGAGTTGATGGCATTTGATTCATCAGCCTTATGGGCTGAATAATTGTGTCTGTAAAGTGCGTGAACACCTGGTGACAGACGTCCTCCCTTGAAATTGTTACACGATGATGTGATTCGGGGGGCAGTCAGTTGGAGGTAGGGAGGGGCAGGTTCTGGCAGGGAGTGGGCGGGAGGGGGGGCCATTTTCCCGAGATGTCGCTTAGGGTCCCCGGACGGGTAATGACATCATTGGCGTGGCCCCTCCAACCACCCTTCGTCATCCTTCGCATCATCATCACCACACCTTCAGCTTGTCGTTGACTTTACTACCTACAGGAGTACCGGTAGACAGGTGAGCTAGCCGCACAAACCGCCCACCCAGCCCGAATCACTCGGCGTGCTTCATAGCTATCTCCTAAAATGACTTCTTTCCTCCCATCACGGGATAGGTACTTGAGTTATCGTCGACGGCAGTCACACAATCTAGCCTCCCCACGCCCAGAATGGTGGGAAGCTGTCGTGGCCTGCTTCGCTCTCCCCGGCCCGAAGAAGACTAGAGCTTCGAGCTATCAGAGCTATTCGAGTTGTTGCCAACGTACTTTCCCTCTCTTGAGTTTAGTTTCCCTCTTGTGATGTGGAATGCCACCTGCCAGCAAGCCCAAACTATGACATGAGTGTCTCACTCGGTCCTTTCCTCCATCCCGACTGTGCCGTCGAAAAGGGTTTCCTCCCCCCCATCCTTTCCCCCCAAGGACCCCTTCTTAAAGTCAACGCAAGACCCTTGTCGCATCGCGGCTGTCGCATCTTACACTGCAACTTTCCTCTTGTCGAACAACAACTTCTCTGCGCCCCGCCCCAATTGTTTGACCAAAAAGGCGCACCTGAATCTTGGCTTCGACGATCCGTAGATACCCAGACCCAGCTTCTTAGTCGTACACATAACACCCTACCGGGACCAGGTTTCTTCCTTCCCACGCCCACCGCATCCTAGTTGCTCTTCCCTCAAGCTTCACGACATTGTCAGAAGGTGCAACTAGGGAATAGAGGTAGTCTACTCTGAAATTCAAACAACCGCAATCATGTAAGTGAGATCAGCTTCATACAACACAACACCATCCATCACCACATTAGCCAAGATGCGACGCTGGTTCTCCCCCCATACCAGCGAGGACTGCTACGCCATTGCTATTAGCACGAAGCCCATAAGCCTTTCCGCCTCAGTGGTCGCCATCACACCTCCTTCTACGTCTGCCAATATACACACCCATCAACTCGAATCAGTTGACTAACACACCCACAGGAACCGGTCACTCTCCATCAGATCTAACCACCGCCGCAACGGCTCCCAGAACAACGGCGCTTCCAAGCGCGCTGGATTCTCCTTCAACTCCCTCCGCGGCAATGTCCAGCCCGAGCTCTCCCGCAAGCTCTACAAGATTATCAAGAGCGAAAACAACCTTATCAACGCCCATGAGACCGCCGGCCGCGAGCGCACCTCCATTGCCACTCAGCTTTCCGAGTGGGGCGAGCAGACCAACGACGCCGCTGTCTCGGACGTCTCGGACAAGGTTGGCGTCATCCTCAGCGAGCTCGGCGAGCAGGAGGAGCAGTATGCTCACTCTCTGGACGATGCCCGGGGCGTTTTGAAGCACATTCGCAACACGGAGAAGAGCGTCCAGCCGAGTCGCGACGGCAAGGACAAGATTGCCGACGAGATTGCCAAGCTCAAGATGAAGGAGCCCCAGAGCGCGAGGCTCGTGGTTCTCGAGCAGGAGCTTGTCCGCGCTGAGGCAGAGAACTTGGTTGCCGAAGCCCAACTGACGAATGTCGTACGTAGCCAACCTCTCCAATCTTATACTAATCATTCGCTAACAAGAAACACAGACTCGTCAGAAGCTCAAGGAAGCGTACGAAGCCGAGTTCGCTGCTACTATTGAGCGGGCCGAGAAGCAAATCATCCTTGCCAAGCACGGCCGACGGCTTCTTCACCTTCTCGATGACACCCCTGTCGTACCTGGCGACATGCGTCCCACATATCACCACGCTCAACAGGCGCGACAGATCCTCAACGACGCCGAGGACGACCTGCGTGACTGGCGCCCGGAGCAGGATGACTTTAACGGCGCACCCTCTGACTCTATGACCAACACTAGGGGTACCCAAGATGCAGTACACGACGAGGACGCTCAGATCGTAGCTGGATCGGTTCCTGGACACCAGGCAGTTTCGGAGAAGGATACCGATAGCATTGTGAGCAACGGAACCAGACAGACCGAGTCTGTCGCTGCTCACTAAAGCGGTATCGGGATGTGTTGTGCGATGCTTTCCACTTTGTATGAAGGATAAGGACGGACGGGCTGGGAGTTGGAGATGTTAATGCTTGTATGTTATACCATTCTTACGGCCGCGCTTTCGTGAAATACACGACAATTGAAAAAATCGTTTAGAGTATGTGTTTTGACCCAGCAAGATGGCAATCTGCAGAATGACCACGTTCTGGTTGTTTCCTCATCACCCCAGTTCATCTACATCATATCTTAACCGCAAGTTGGGAAGGGATTGTGCCAAGTATTATTCAGCAGCTCTCCAATGTTGGGGGAAACATGAATACCAAACTTCTATCGACTTGGTTGGCCGAAGGTATTAATGCTGTCAAATGACTGAGTTAAGGTAGCAAATTAGACATGTGAGGATGCAGGCAACAGCAGGCAGCCGACCCCGCTCTGTGCGACGCCAACACGGTTCCGTTGGAGAGGCGCGAGGTTTATAAGTGGCGTGTTTGGTTCTGTACGCCACCATTCGCACCATGTCTTTTTGAACATTCCCCTTACTTCCAAAAACCTATCCCTCGTTTGCTCAACTCACGGGGAAGGGAAAACCCCATTTTTATTTTTTTCGATTTGCCAAATTATGGATTCAACCGCCACGTCCACGACGATTGACGTCTCCGCATACGACCAACAGCTCCAATGCCCGCTGTTCGGGACCTTGCCGGGCGAGATCCGCAACGAGATCTTTGCGCTTGCGCTGGTGCAGTATGAAGAGGAGGGGGAATCGGCGTACGCGAAGGACTCGTACTGGTATCGGCCTGGTTTCACGGGTCCGAGGAAGAGTAGTAGTAGTTTGCTGAGGGCGTGTAAGTTGGCGTATGCGGAGGGGCAAAAGGTGTTTTTGAGGGAGTTGGAGTGGGCCTTTTGGTTTGGTATGTCTTTTTTTCTTCTTCTTTTTCCTGTTTTATATTTCTATACCCCCTTCCCCTTTCCTTCTTCTCTTGGGGCTCTACACGAATGGGAGCTCTTTTAGGAAGTGTCGGTGGCAGAGTTGGGAGGTTCGATCGTTATGAACTGACGGAAAACTAATTTGCTAATGTGAATCTCAGACCGCGGCCCAAAAGGAAGAACAAGAAACGCAGCCTGCACGGGATTCTTCTCCTCCCTGACGGAGCAGCAATCGCGCGACTTGACTAGAGTCCGCTTCTTTACGCAAATGTACTGGCTCGAGGGCGGGCGGAACTTGGCGACGCTCTTTGCGCAGCCTAGATTCGCACCCGAGGTGTTGACGATTACGGTGCGGTATTCGGATTGGTGGTACTGGGAGAGCGACGAGCCGTTGCGGATGTCGGAGGATTGGTTGCGGGGGTTTAGGGGGCCTAGGGGACTGAGGGAGTTGAGGGTTGAGTATGAGACGCTTGTGGGGAAGAGGGAGGAGATGATGGGGATTGTGGGGAGGAATAAGGGGTGGAAGTTGGTTGTTGGTGGTGGTGTTGGTGGTGGGAGAGAGGAGAGGAGGGAGAGGGAGAGGGAGGATGGAGAGGAAGAGGACGGAGAGAAGAAGGAAGAGGAAGAGGAAGAGGAAGAGGAAGGGTATCTGAGTGCCGAGGGGACGGAGCTGGTGGAGTGGACGTGGAAGGGGCCTAGTAAACTCGGTGGACAGGAGTGGGCTCATCACGGGGAGGGGGAGACGGTTGAGTATGTCGTTGTTATGGATACGTGGAGGTTTGTGGAGGGGAGGATGAGCGAGGAGGATCGGGCGAGGAGGGTGGAGAGCCAGCCTTTGTCTGATTCTTATGGGCATTTCTGGCATTTTGATGATTCGGATAGGAGCTCGGAGTCTTGGAGTGAGGACGAGGATGAGGAGGGTGATGATGAGGATGAGGAGGGTGGCGATGAGAATAGTGATGAGGACGGTGATCAGAATGGCGAGGATGAGAAAGGGTACGATCATGATGTGGTTGGAGCTGGAGAGGATGGCTCGCCGGTTGGAGGCTCTGAGTTGGATTTATCTGCCGGAACTGTTTTTCAAGATGTGTGGTCGAAGATGCAAGGATGATCGTATGGCAAACATACAAGCTCATGCATGGACATGATTTGATATTTCTTTTCTGGATGGGGCTTTACTATCTTGGACGATGGTGACTGTCGAAGATGTTGAATATGGAAAAGAGTTTGTGGGCTGGAATGGGCAATGCTACGACCAACCCTCAATTAAGTATCTTGTCCAACTGTCATTTACCTTGAGGGAAACGATCAGCTGTTCCCTAGGTAGTTTCTTGAATATACTCGAATCGTTTCAAGCAAAAGGCGAACTCAGGTGTGACTCCCATCTATTCAATCTTTGGGCTTTTCATCGCCCCTCAGTCTTTTGAACTACAAGAAGCATCTTAGCTCTCCATTATCCCTAACCTCAGAGACCACCATATATTCGCGTCAAGCAGGTGTGGTTTTAACATCCGCAAGGCTTCATCTCACTGAAGAAGCATCGTGTGCTGCTCAGTATGTTTGCCAGAGAGTTCATGGAGGCATGACACCTTGAGGCTGTAAAAATTAGCAAGAACACAGATCTCGTCTGCAACATATCAAGCTTTGACATGACTTGTATCTCACCCAGAAATGTAATTAGGCAATAGTCCGGGATTAAAGTGATGAGGGTTTCGGCGAGTATCGACCAGAATATAAAGTAACCAAAACATAAACAACATCGGCTCACCGTTTTAACACTACAATTTTAGCCCATCCGGAGGGGTAATAGCCAGAACCGTTTTCTTTTCTCTCTCTCCAAGTAGGAAAAGTAGAATAAAATTACGGTTCTCACATTGCGACTGGTACCGCTTTAATCATCTTTTTTTTCCCATTTTCTGGCAATTATTGAGTTAAATTACATGCCTGAGTAGAAGTAAGACTAATGAACGGAGATACATTTTACTACAAATAATAGAAGGAGACCAGAGTCCTGTTTCACCTCTAGTTGAAATCTTATGTAGAACATCATCACAATGCAACAAGGGAAATTCGACTCCGACCAATATTCCATCACTCTTCTCCGAGATACGGCGAAACCAACGGCATTCCGCTCTCAAGCAGGGCCTCAATGTACGCCGTAATAAGCGGATCCAGACCTTGTCGTGCAGCACGGACGAGCCACTCTTGCATATCAACCTCGTCGAACGCGCCGCCGTAGACGGTCTCCATGTGGGTACGGAATTGCGAGAAGGGAGTTTTGATACCGCCGGAGTGGTGGCGGAAGTGGATGGACGACGATGGTGGTGAGGCTTCTGCTACTGATGGAGAAGTACCTCGGGGCACGCTGGCCAACTCGACGGCGGCGGCGGCGATGCGGCCGACGACGTCGTCGAGGGGGGCAAAGTCTAGGAACCCTTTTGCGCGGCGGAGACGCGGGACGGTGCGCATGGCGAGGGAGTAGCGGAGGATGCCGTTCATTGCGTCCGAGTTGGGTGCTTGGGAGCTGACGAGGGTGCAGGATCTGTGTACTGCGATGTTGAGGCTGGGTGATATCTTGTTTGCGGTTTCGGTTCGGCTTTCGGCACCGTGATCACCATCACGATCCCGGAGGTGGTTGACCAGATTCTCCAAGAACACTTCCCCGGCCCACTTACTCGCCGTGTACCCGTCCGAGCCATCCACAGCCGGCGGCGGGAAATCGCGGAGGGAAGATGGAGGTCTGGGGGTTTCGGATGTACCTGCTAGGAGGAGGGTGCGTGGGCTGGAGAGGTAGAGGATTGGGATTGCTGTTTTGCAAAGTGATGACGAAGCGGAACCTGAAGTCAGGGATGATGCCAGAGACAGGGAGGCGAGAGAGTGTAAGGCCTCGAGGTTGGGACGGCGGAGGGTGGCGAAGCGGTTTAGGCAGTGGCCGTGAGCAGCTGTGTGGACGATGATGTGGACGGTCTGGGCGAGGTGGTTTCGTTCAGTGGGAGTTAGGCCTAGGTTCTTGGAAAGGAGGGTGCCTGTGTAGTAGGCCACCTCGGCGACGGAAGCAGAGGGAATCGAGGAACTGAGTTGGTGGTGGTGGTCGGAGGGGACGGCGATGCAATGGACTTTGCGGACGGATGGGTGGTGAAGGAGGGCTGTGAGGATGTGGCTTCCTGGGAAAGAGGATGCTCCTGTGAGGAGGACTTCGATACCGGCCTCTGTCTTGCCTCTCTTCGCAGCGTCGGCGACGGTCGTCATCTCAACCTTCTTAATCTCCTCCTGCAACCATTCTGGAACAGCCGTCTCGGCATCCCAGTCTATACGAGGATTCTCCTCCGCCGCCGCCGTAGAATCCTCAAAGACGGCTCGCGTCATGGCACGCAGCGTGGTGGCCTCGTACATGCGTTTCGTACTGATCTCCACGCCAGTCGTCTCCTTGATCGCCTTTTGGAGCTTCATCAGCAGCAGCGAGTTGCCGCCGCAGAGGAAGAAGTCGGACGAAGGGCCGATGCGCTTGGAGCCTAGGGAGGGGAGAACGCGTTCCCAGAGGAGACGGAGTTCTCCTTGGCGGACAGTGAGTTTCTCTCCTGCTTTATTGTGCCCAGGGGCTCCTTCCGTGTTTGTTGCGCTGGTGTCGGATCCGAGTATGTGATTGGGGGTTGACCCCTTTCTCTCCGGGAGAGGGAGACGGGCGATGGCTTTGCGGTCTAGTTTGCCGTTTGGCGTTGAGGGTAGCGTTTTGAGGATGTAGATTGCCGCGGGGATGAAGGCTTGTGATAATCTCACACGGGAGAGGATCGAGGAAGAGGAGGAAATGCTGCCGTCGTCTTGCCAGGTGGTAGGATCTACATCGTCGGCGAGCGTGGCGTGGGCGATGAGGATGTCATCTTCACCAATAGCACCAGCGCCAGCGCCATCCAGACGACGCCGAGATACCACGACAGACGCGATAACACCCGCAGAAGCCCGGAGGATGGCGGCCTCGATCTCCTGCAAATCAACCCTCTGCCCGCGCAGCTTGATCTGCGTGTCGCCGTCCAGTCGGCCGAGGCAGAGGAGCGTTCCGTCGGCAAGGAGGCGGCCTTTGTCACCGGTGCGATATACCGTGCCCTTCTTGTCCCCTAGGACATCCGTTAGAAAGCGGGTGCGAGTGAGGTCTGGTCTGTGGAGGTATCCCAGCGCCACGCCCGCGCCGCCGATGCAGATTTCGCCTGTTTGTCCCAGGGGTAGGGGCTGCGGGGCGGTAGTGAGGGTGAAGGGGTCGATGATGATGACGGTGTAGTTCGGGAGAGCTTTGCCTACGGCGTAGGGCCTCCATATGGCCGAGGGTGTGGAGGGGGATGCTAAGCAGGAGATCGATGATGTTTTGTCGTCGTTGCCGAGAGGGATGGGTTGAAAGGTTGCGGCTGCTGTGATCTCCGTCGGTCCGTAGCAGTTTGTCAGTCGCAGACCTGGGATCCCGAGACGACCGAGTTCGGTTATGAGACGGGGTGGGATCTGTTCACCGCCGGAAAAGGCCAGCCGCCAGGTGCTACTACCGTCTCCCTTTCCCGTGCTCGCCTCCGTGCTTGCTGAGAGGACGTCGGCGGCGGCATGAATCCAGGCGAGGTACTCGGTCGGCGTGGCGATGGTCATGGAAACGGCCTCGCGCCTCAGGAGGGCCGCAATGGCGACGGGGTCGCGGCGGATGTCGGTGGGGGCGATCACCAGACAAGCCCCGTTGGCGAGGGCGGAAAAGGTTTGGATTAGAGCCATGTCGAAACCGAGGGAGCTCTGTTGGAGGACGTGGTCGGTGTGGGCCAGGGAGAAGGTCTGCGTCTTGAGGGCGATGTGGTTTGCGAAGTTGAGTTGGGTCAGGTGGACGCCGTTAGGGGTGCCTGTTGAGCCGCTTGTGAAGAGGAGGAAGGCTGGATATATCTTGTTTGAATCATTCAGATCATCGTGAGTGTATGAGTCGTCTTGGGGATGGTCCACGTCTACCTGGAGGGCTCGTGGTTTCTCATGTTGCTCCCCCACGACGACGTCGTCTAGCAAGGCATTCAAACGCTGTTCCGTCGGTGTGTGGAAGAGCACGAGTGCAGGCTCGCATAGACGGAGCATATCTGCGTGGCGTGAGGCAGGCAAGCTAACGTCGAGGGGAACGTAGACGGCTCCGGCTTCGAGGACAGCCAGCATGGCGACGATACCATCGATCGACGGCTCACACAGCACGGCGACATGGCGTGCATGAACACCGGCCTCTTTCAGCCGATGTGTCAGGCGGCTCGTCTGCTCTGCCAGCTGAGAATACGATAGACTTGCCACGGCGTCAGTGACGGCTATACGACCAGGGTGTGAACGACACATATCCCGCACACGACGAGACAAACACAGAGACGACCCGGTATTAACCCAGTCAAACTTGGTCTCAGGACCTCGGCCAACCTCAAGCGCGCGAAGCACACGAGCATCTGAATCATCGTACAACGCCAAACGGTCCACAGAGACCTCCGGATCACGCGCCACAGCCTCCAGCAACCTCAGGTACACATCCATAAGAGACCGACACGCCTCAGGCCCGTATAACGTAGCAGAGCACCATATCTGCGCGAGACACCCGCCCCCGGGCATCTCAAAGAAGCCCAGGCTCACATCGTAAGGGTTCTCGGCCTCCTTGGCGCCGAGCCAGGATAGTTCCATGCGGGCGTCGTCGGAGCCGAGGGGTAAGTCCCAGATGTTGATGCCGCCGCCGCCGGCTGTGCGGTAGTTGATGGCGGCTTGGAATAGGGGGTGGGCTTCTGTTGCGCGCGGGGCGGAGGCGAGGGAGAGGATGCGGTCTAGGGGGAGTGTGCCGTGGGCGAAGACGGACATTGCCTTGCGGGAGGCGACGCGGGCTATGGAAGCGAAGTCGGGGCTGGTTTCGGTTGTACCGGCGGTCGCTGCCACAGTGGCGCGAAGGGGCAGCATGTTGACGAAGCATCCCAGCGTGTTGACGAAGCGCTCGTCGCGGCGGTTGGCGTCTACTACACCGATGCAGATGTCTTCTGTGCCGGTGAGGCGTGCGAGGAGGACTTGGAGGAGGGCGAGATGGACGTGGAATGGGCTGATGCGCAGGCGCTGGCTTAGAGATTTCACGGCTTCGAGTTGTGCTGGGTTGAGCTCTTGGTCTAGGTTATGAGCACCGATCTGCTGCTGTTGACGGACCAGAGACGATCTATCGAGGCCGCGGGCCATGGGTAAAAGGGGAAGCGTGTCAGGCAGTGAGGAGGCGAACTCGGCGCGCCAGAAGGCGAGGTCCTCGTCCAGCACGCCATTTTCTTCCTCACTGAGCTGATGGAGCGAGTAATCGACGTATGAGAGCCCGCGGCCGATGGGAGTGAGAGGTTGCATGCGGTATGCTCTGTCGACGTCACGCCAGAAGAGGGCTACGCTCCAGCCGTCCAGGGTGATGTGGTGGTATCCCAGCACGAGGTATCCGTACTCCTCTGTTTCATCATCCTCTTGTCGCAGTTGCCCATCTTTGATACTTAGCAGTGAAACCTCCATGGTCTCTCCTCGCTCGAGATCCCACGTACGCGTCTTGAAGCCCTCAAGTGTCTCCCGTAGTGCCGCATCGATGCCGTCCCGGTCTTCGTACTCGGTGTGCGTGAGGCGGACAGCCGACTCGGACGGCGCCGTGACTCCTTGCATCGGGTGGCCGTCCTCGAGGCGCGGATAATAGCACGTGCGGAGGCACTCGTGGTGGACCGCGACGAGCCGGAGGGCGTGACGGAGCCGGGCCGGATTCACGCAGCTGCGGCCTCGGAGCCGGTAGTAGAATGCGTTGTTGCAGGCGGCTGGGTTGTCCGAGTGCTTGTGAACGAACCAGAAGCGGGATTGGGCGGCGGACATGGGCGCTTCTCTGACGATGACGGGTTCCAGAAGGAGGCCGACGTTCTTTTTGAGGTCGGGTTTGTCCTTGAGTTGGTCCTGGTGCTCTCCTCCTCCTCCTCCTTCTTCTTCTTCGTCGTCTGTGGTGGCAGTTTTGGGGGTGTCTGAGCCGGATCCTGAGTTCTCGACTATGCTGCTGCTGCTACTACTACCATTCCCTGCGGAGGCCAAGTTGGAGTCAACAGAAACAGGGGTCACAACATCAGAGACTGGAGCTGCGCCGGGAATCTGCTTGACAACCTCGCTCGAGGCCTGGACAACTTTCTCAACCGCCTTGATTCCCTTTTTCTCCTCAATCTTGGGAGGAACCTCCTTGCGGTCCGCCAACATCTTCTTAGCCGCCTTCGCCGAGACCTCCAAGACAGTCTCGCCGCCCAGGATCTTGACGATCGGCACCTCTGTGTCAAGCTCCTTGAGGAACCACGTCCGGATCTCGACCGCCACCAGCGAGTCGATGCCCAGATCAACAATCGGCCGCTCGAGGCCGTTGCTCTCGTGTACCGCACCCTTGGGGAGCTGCAACATCGTCTCGAGCTTGGCTCCGAACGCCGCCGCCACTGCCGCTACGGCATCGTCCTCCGTCTCGGAGCGAGCAACTTGCTCACGTACGCCGGTGCCGCCGAAGCCGTGTTGATCCTTTTGCTGCTGCTGCGACTCAGCTGATAGTGTGCTGTACGGTTTTAAAGCCATGAGGCGGGGATCCAAAGTCCACACGGCCTTGTTCACCTGCCCAGCCTGCATGGGCGCAGTAGGCGGCGCAAGGCCCATGGTGATGTCGTACTCGAGTTCAGAGCCGGACCCGGGCGAGTAGTCGACTCGACTCGCGCGCACAGCCATCGCAAAGGCATCTTGCACATCCGTCTCGGATAATGGTGTAAGGCGAATGCTTCTAAAGTGATCGGCAAGCTGCTTCTCTTTGGCAAAGCGCGTGATGTACCCTGTGTCCGCCACCCACCCAATATGCACCACAGACGCAGCCAAACCTCTGGCGCGCCGGCCTGCGACAACGGCGTTCATAAAGAGGTTACCGGCGTGGTAATTCGCTTGGGCGACGTTGCCGATGGTACTCGCCGCCGACGACGTGACGATGAAGAAGTCCAGCTGTTCAGCACCCTTTCCGCCGTGGAATACGGCATCGAGGTTCTCTGTTCCAACAACCTTGGCCGCCAGCGTCTCGTTGAGCTGCTGCGGGGACATGTCGAGAAATACGGCGTCGTGGAGGACCATGGAGAGGTTACACACGCCTGCAATGGGCGGCATCGTCGAACGGATGGTTGCGACTGCTGTCTCGACTTCTGCGCGCTGCGTCACGTCCACGGCGAGGGTGTGGACTTTTGCCCCCGCGCGGAGGGCCTCAGCTTGGAGGTCTGCGTTGGGCTGGGCGCGGCGGGATGTAATGACGATGTGTTGGGCGCCGTGACGGATCATCCAACGCGTAAGGGAGAGGCCTAGGCCGCCGGAGCCGCCCATGATGAGGTAGGTTCGGTCTGGGCGGAGGAGGCCGTTTGGATGGATGTCGGTTTCAGGGGGTTGGATTGTTAAGGGGAGGGAATTTTGCTGGTACCAGGAGCAGAGGTACTGTTGGCGGGAGAGAGAGGCTGCGTTCAAACCCGCCAGGTCAGCTGCCATGATCGTTTTCGTCGTCTTGTCACAGCCGTCTCCTGTTGAGTTGGCAGTGACACCTGTAGACGCGAACAAGGCCTCGATGGTTTGCTTCTGGCTCTCGGCCGGGGTCTGCAATTTTCGTGGCAGGAATCTCTGCAGAAGTTCTCCGTCGAGTGCAAACGTCTGGCAGTTTGACGGCAGAGATTCCCTCAAATATCCCCAAGCTTGATGGTAAGCGTGCTCTGATGCCTCAGAGCAGTCTACGAAGAAGTCCACGCGGTTTGAGGGCAGACATTTCTTGGCCATACGTCGCGACGTATTTGTGTGGACTCGAATCCAACCTGAGGGAACCCTCTTCAGATTAGAATTGGAGGTGACGCAAAATACCTCGACACTGACACCCTGGAGCTCTGCCTTCAGCTCTTTCTCGAGCTTCTCAGCCATGTCATACTTCGGCTCGAAGAGTAGTAACCCGACGGTCAAACCGGCGTTGACTGCCACGCGGTGTATGAGGGCACGGCGAAGAAGAGCGTCAGCCATAGCTTTGATGGATGCTGGTGTGTAGGAGCAGCCGACCCGGATAATGTCCTTGGGCTGTAGTGACAACTTGGACACATTGGCAGAGCTGAGTGCCATGACCCAGTCCTCATTAAAACGCCCATGGACGATGAAGACCGAAGATTTCTCCTTGTGAGATGGAACATGCAGAGCATACTCAACGTCCATCTGCACAGCCCCCTGGCTGTGGTCAACGAACCGCCGCAGCTCCATCTTCCCATTAGCATTCGCAACAGCCTGAACCGCAACGTCAGTCACGTCAACAGTTTTGACAATGGGCCGGTTGCGCGCGGAAAACCGCTCGTTCAACGCCGTGGCAGGCATTACGCGCGGGATTCGAACCTCGCCGTCAACAAGGACCTCGCACTCGGGCTCAACGGACCACAACGGAAGCGGAGCCTTCCCCTCACTATCCCGGAGATCAGACATGTGCCGCAGCCGTAGGAGCGCCTCGACACAGCGCCGGGCGTCTACCGCGGGACCGGCACCAGCCTCGAGCCCGAGAACTTGCACGCTGAGGTGAGAAATCTCCTTGGGCACCACGCGCGTGATGCCGCGGATCATGCTCGCGCGGGGGGCTGCAGAGTTGCCAGATGGCGTCACCCAGAGCAAGTTCGCGGCGGAGAGGAAAAGATGCTGGAGGCGGCGCAGACGCGGTTCCGACATGGGCAGGCTCGCGAACAGGGGCTCATCAGCGTCATGCAGGCACAGAACGTCGGCTCGGTTGAGGCTGACGTCGTCAAGGTCAATGTCGTCAATGCTGGGAATTACACACAGACGAAGCTTCCATATCGACGGTAAAAGCTTGGTGATCTCGTCGACGACACGGGTAGTAACAAGCCGCTGTCCCCCGATAAGCAGCAGCGGCGACGACGGAGGCGCAGGCAAATCAATAGGCGCGACAAAGTCAAGCGGGCTGCGGAGGCGAAATACGTCCTCATCAATAGCCTGGCTGACGATGCACGACGTGACGTGGCGGCTCTCGTCGGGACTATCATGCAGCACCGTATCGGCGCCCGAGAATCCGGCCCGGCAGAGAAGACGGTGCCACTCGAGCGTCGGCACAGTGGGGCCGTAGCGGCGGGACGGCTCCGTGCTCTGCCACCAACCAGGCAACCCGCCAAAGAGGAAGCCGACCATGCTCTGCGTACCCGTGGTCTCAAGGAGGACGAGGTAGCCACCTGGGCGAAGTAAGCTGCTTGCGCGAGCGAGTGTATCTGCGAGGCTCCGCGTGGCGTGGAGAACATTGGCCGCGATGACGACGTCGTAGCTGTGCGGCGTGAACCCTTGTGCGGCAACATCCTGCTCGATATCGAGCGTGCGGTACGACACGCGGTCAAAGGCGGCAAATTTCTCCGCCGCAGCAGAGAAGAAGGCGGGTGAAACGTCAGTGAAGGTGTAGGAGTCGTACAGCTCGTCTACGGCGTGTAAAACGCTCCAGGTTGTCCCGCCTGTCCCAGCGCCGATCTCGAGCATATTGCAGCGCGGGAACTTGAAGGCGATTTGCTTCATGAGCTGACCAACGGCGCGGTTGGTCGCCACCGAGGTATTGTTGTGCATGTAGAACTGGTTCAAGAGGTCGTCTTGCTGCATTACTTGGAGCAGGAGATGGGACTCGCCTTGGACGACGCGGGCGAGCGCTCCGCCGACGGCGTGCATAAGACGAAACTCGACTGTGGTGCCGTGTTCGCGATCTAGTGCGGTG